CTAAATCACAGCTTGTCCTTGAGTGAGGCCCAGCGCCGTCACTCGCCTGACACAGGGGATCACCCTGTCATTCCTCCATTAATGGGCGGAGATTTGCAATGGCCGCTGTCCGAATGACCCTCCGATGGGATGGGTCATACCTACCTCCACTTCGCTGGAAGCAGATGCAACGTGGGAGCACGGTTTGTCTGCTGATGACGTGACCGGCGTCAGACCAGTCACAGACCGGTCATTCTTGTCCACCACGTGTCAGTTTAGCATGTCGCACGTCTGTCCTTCTTCATACAATGACTTCTTTGCAATGGTTGCGATGAAGCCTGGAATGTATCTAGCCGGGACTGGCGTGCTAACTCCAGGAGTTAGCACACCGGCTCCGGCTAGGGACGAGTGCCTGGAGGCTCTCATCATTCCGACGGGACGGGGCGAGGCGTGTGACAGGCCGCCTGCTGCCACCTAACCCGCGATCCGACCGATCTGTGACTGGTCACATACTGCGACCGGTCACGGACCGGATAAGCGAGCGCGCTGCGCTGTATTAAATGCGGCGTGGCGCGCTCGTCCAACCCGCAATAAATGCGGTTAGGTGAGCGCCGCTGTGCTCACCTAACCCGCACACGTGGCGCCAACACCACAGGGGGTCGGGGCGCCCCAGCCCTCGGGGCCGAAACGGGAGCGGCCCGACCCCTCGGGGAGACAGAGGGAGGGGTGGCCACGTCACCCTCGGGCCTGACCCCCCCGAGGGGGTCAGGCCACGTGGGTGAGCGCGGCTGCCCAAGCCTCTAGTCACGATACTCCCGGTCCCATGTCACCGACACCACCGGCGGCCGGCGCCGCCTCCTCCCTCTGCCGCCGACGCGAGTACGCCGCCCCCCCGTCGTCGCCGCCGCCACGAGGCCGCTGCAGCCACCGAAGCTGGTGATCTTGAGCACCACCTCGTGGGCGATGGGGTTCAAGAACTCGCGCGAGCCGGCAACCGCGGCTGCCGGAGAAGTAAAGCCGGCGCCGGCGGCGGAGGGAGGAGAGCCGGCGCTAGCCGCTGGTGGAGGGAAGAGGGGAGCCGGAGCGGCGGCTGAGGCAGAGTGCTTCTCGGCGAGCTCGCAACCGGGATAAGGAGAACGGGAGCAATGTGGAGAGTTCGAGAGAAGGGTAGTTGCGAGAATTAATTTCTTGGGCTGGGCACTCTTGGTCCCCTGCATTGTGGTCCCACGTAAAAGAAGGAAGGTCACGAGATTAAGGTCACTAGCACTGTAGGGTGTGTGACTTAGAGATGAATTTAGGGCCAAAATCCTTGCTGGATTGGGATGAAGGCACGGTAGCGTGCCTTGCACTGCTACTGTCCTGAGATAGCACACGTCCCTATGGTTGTTGAAGACCGCGGTAGGGATGACGAGGTTATCCACCGCGCCCTCCAAAAGGCAGGAGAAGGGGATGCAGGCCGTCGGCCTTAGGTGATTGGGAAAGGGGCTGCGGCTGAGGTGTTTGGATGCCGCGAACCCCCGCAACGCCTCGTCGATCACATGGAGGAAAAAGTACACCGAAGGTCCCTCAACTTGTCATCGAGTTACAAAATCGTCCCTCAACCGCAAAACCAGATATATGACATCCCTCAACTTATAAAAACCGTTCACTATAGGTCCTTCAGTGGTTTTGTATCCGATTTTATCCTACGTGGCGGCTGAGTCAGCGTGGGACCCACGTAGGCCCCACATGTCAGGATGCCACGTCAGCCTCTCTCTTCCCCTTCCTCTCCCTTCCTCCTCTCTCTCTCTCACTCTTCTCTTCTCTTCTCTTCTCTGGGGCAAGCCGGCCGGCGGCTGGGGACGAGGCGACAGAGGAGTAGGCGGCAGCGGCTGTGACGCGCGAGAAGACGAGGGCAGCGGCCGGTCAAGAATGGCACCGACGGCGCTGCGTCGCCGCCGCCGGCGAAACGGCCCCGCGCGGGTGGGCGCCGCGGCGTTGGGCGCGGAGGCGGAGCCGGGGCCGGGCGCCGCGGTGGTGGGCACGGAGGTGGAGGCGGGGCGGGGTTGGGCGCCGCGGCGGTGGCCGCGGAGGTGGAGGCAGGGCCGGGCGCCGTGGAGGTGGACTCTGGCGGACTCGGAGCCCCGGCTTGCTCCCGCGCCGCATCCTCCCTCTCTCCGTGTGCTCGCTGTCGACGTCCCCACCTCCTCCCTCTTCGCGCGCGCACGCTGCCGGAGCTCGCGCAGGTGTACGTCGTCGTCGGCCGCGACGTGCTGGTCAGCCCGGTGTCAAAAATGTCTCCCGGTAAGTCAGCCTCGTCGTCAGGCAGAGGAGGAGCGGTGGCGGCGTACCATACGGTGACGAGGATGATGTTGGAAGCGGATTCGAGAGGGCCGCAGCAATGACCGCCGTGTCGTCCAATCGTCGCCGATGGGAGCACGGCGAGTGCCCAGATGTAGAAACCATGGATGGCGTCGAGGACGCACATCTTCAGAGACAGGATGTGTTCGCATGAGGAGAGGTCGTAGTTCACTGGTGAGTCGGTAGCCTCGTCGCCGTCGTATGGCGGCGCCACACCCACCAAGCAGCTGGATAGCTTCGTCTACATGGATTCGCAATCAAACGACAGGTTGGATGTACCCGAGTTGAGGAGAATCGATCCCTTGCAATTTGACCATGACAGGGGAGAGCTGACCGGCGAGGAACTGCAACGTCATGAGGCGCGGCAGCTCATCAGGCGCTGGATGTGCCGCTTTCAGCGCGGCGACCCTGAGCGCGACCTGGATGGGGAGCGGCGGCGTCGACGACTCTGCGCCGCTCGGCCTCATCGTCGTCGGCGGCTTCGGGTGGGGGCGCCACACCACCGGCTTCTTGTCGCTCGTCCGCGGCGGGGGCGCCGCGCCGCCGGCTTCTCGTCGCTTGTTCGCTGGGCCGCGGCCGGACCGGAGTGGCGAGTGTCGACGACGACGAGGCATGCGAACTGGTGAGCGGTGCGGACCTCTTCATCGGTGGCGACATCAACGACGAGGGCGAGGTCGTCCGCGCATACCTCCTCCGCCTCCCCCGCCGGCCGCAGCCGCGCGCCGCCATCGCCGACGCCCGACGGCAGCGACTTGATGGCGGCGTCGTCGAGTCGATTTCCGCATGATGGCCGCAACCGCACGCCGCCATCGCCGACCACACTAGGGGGACGGGGAGGCCGGCGAGCCCGCGCGCCGCCACTCGGGAGCCACCGTCGCCGGCCGCACGCGTTGCCGCTCGTGCGAGAGCAGAGAGCGAGGGGGAGGAAGGAAGGAGAGAACAGAGAGAAGAGGGGGAAATAGAGTATGCGCTGATGTGGCAGCCTAACATGTGGGGCCCACGTGGGTCCCACGCTGAGTTAGCAGCCACATAGGATAAAACCGGGTTAAAACCACCGAGGGACCTATTATGACCGGTTTTGGTTAGTTGAGGGACACCGGATATCCGGTTTTGTGGTTGGGGGATAATTTTATAATTCGATGGCAAGTTGAGGGACCTTGGTGCACTTTTTCCATCACATGGATGGCGAGGGCGGAGAATTGATCTTTGGGGCCCTCGCTGAGGCGCACGTAGATCGTCAGGGCCTCTACCAGAATTCGTAGTTTGATTGGAGTTATAATAGCAAGACGCTGCATCGGGATAGCATACATGCGCACAATTTTCGGTCCAGAAGGAAGCAGATCCGTCAGATGCGCCTGACGCGGATCGCGTCGCGCCACTGGTGAAACCGTCGATGGCAAAGAAAAGAGTGTATAACAAAACGCACGGCAGAAGTTTGTCCACAGCGTAGGGCTTATTGGGCTCTCACAGGCTTCTGACTTGCTAAGTCCACTGAAATCCCAGGCCATCACCAAATACAGGGCCGGGATTTTGGCCCATTCCGAACGACGCATCGAGGGAACGGGCCGAATGCGTGTCAGTGTGTTTCTGTGCCATATGCAAGCGGACCAACTGCCGGTCGACTCCAACGCCAGCCGTCTGCTTCGTCCTCACATCCAAGTCCGGTGAGCGGTGGCGAGCCTGGGACCCGGCGAGACAACCCAGCTACCCCGACCGACTTGGAAAGGGAGAACGCAACCGTCCCCCGCATTCCCCTCCTCTTCAGAATCAGCAGCGAATCACTCTCCTCTCTCGTAGTCCCTGTCAATCCGACGCCGTGCATGCAGTTAAATCTTCCAAGCCACACGAATCCGCAGTTTTGTCACAGGTGAGACGTGCCTGTGAACTGGCACGGTGGCAACTCACCTCTCCCTACCTTTCTCTGGTACCAAACCTTTCCAAGGAAGAAACCAAGCTGCATGCTGCTGCGGTAGGACCACCGGTGTTAGGACACACTGGAGTTGTCAATCGTCTTTACAGCCAAACCACCACGCATTTTTCGTTCTGTACAGCATAAAATATGAATGACTTGTCTGTGCTGAGATTCTTTCTTCTATCATGCCTAGCGCATGCTCACGAGTCAAGCCATGCGCAGAAGAAAGGTTTAACCAAAGTTTTAAGGGTAATTTGGAAACATGTCATTATAACTTTGCAAAGTTTAAGATATGTCATTGGTATCTCAATGACATGTAGGACCTACATGAGTCAATGACATGTGAGTTAGAATGACATATCTCAAATTTTATAAAATTATAATGGCATGGTTCCAATTTTCCCAAATTTTTTAAACCGTAGCTTAATTGGGCCTTTTTGACAATGTTGGACCAGCCAACCTAAACACTTTCATGGAACTGCCTGGTAACCAAACCAGCTGCTACACTACCGCTTTTGATAGGAGCAGCAGCCGGCCTGAATTGACTCTAGCTTATTGCCTTCGAATTAGGCTTGAAAAATACTACTACTTAGTACTCTGTTACAGTCTAAAATATGAGATTCCACCAATTAATCAACAATCCAACAAACCAATCATCTGGACACGCTGTCTCAGGCGGCCATTGGAATTTTAAATTCGAGAAGTGATTCATTTTCTAATTTAAATCCGAGTATTTAAAAAGTTTCATCTCTCCTCGATTTAAAAGAAATCCTTTTTATAGCTTCTGCTCGTCAGGCTTTAGAAGGTGTGATGAAAAGTGCCAACGCGCCTTCACATTTGGCAATATCGGAAAAACGAAGCCTTCCTATTTATTTGCCGTTCCGTGCACCGAGCAATCTCGCGGACGCGTAGCCGGAAATCGAATCAGGCCGCAGGGCTGAGAGAAAAAAATAATCAGAAGCAAAGGGGGGAGAGAGAGAGAAAAAAAAAAGTCGAGGAGGCGGCAGCAGGCGGCGGCGAGCGAGCGAGCGGAGGAGGAGGAGGAGCAGAGAATGTCGGCGCTGCAGAGCTGGCGCAAGGCGTACGGCGCGCTCAAGGACACCACCACCGTCAGCCTCGCCAATCTCAACTCCGACTTCAAGGTCCGCGTCGAGCTTTTGCACCCTCCCCCAATCCAGTGGCGCAAACTGGTTCAGTTCATCCGATTTGCCGCAACCGACTGGGGGACGAGGAGTCCAGGAGGGGGAGGCGTTTGGATCTGTGTTGTACGCATCCATTGGGATTTATTTTAGTTTGCGATGTTTTTCTTTTCCCCTCTGTAGGATCTGGATGTGGCGATTGTGAAGGCCACGAACCACGTCGAGTGCCCGCCCAAGGAGCGCCACCTGCGAAGTACGTTGATTCGTCCTCACTACCAATCTGCCAATCTCCTATATCCTCGCTTGCGATTTTCTGCTTAATTTAGTTCAGTGTGTGTGGAATCAGATTTGAGAATTGAGATTGTTCGGTGGGATGGAGGGTACTTGCTGTTGGGGTTTTCCCCATTCTCTGTTGGGTTTGGTGTTTGATGGGTTGGTGGTTGTGTTGCAGAGATTGCAGCGGCGACGTCCATCGGTAGGCCTCGGGCGGATGTCGCCTACTGCATCCATGCTCTTGCTCGTCGCCTCGCCAAGACCCGGAATTGGATTGTAAGCACCGTGCACTCCTGTTGAGATTTTTCGTGTTTATGTTTTATGTTTGTATCTTTTATGCTTAGGTTGCGTTGAGCGCTTGCCATACTGTAGTCGAGTAACAGGCGGGTTGCAAAACTGAAATTTTTGCAGTATATAAATGTAGTCATTTATGTAACTGCCGCAGTGTAAGAAGTTAGGATACTGAGCTTGAGCTTTTTGTGGTTTAGCGGTGGTACAGTGGTGCTAATGTGGGCATCCAACCATCCAGGATAGTAGAATGTACATTTAAATTATGTTACCGCTTATGCCCTCGATATATCTCAAACTTGAAATATAACTTAACTCAATTGATTAACATTCTCTCTTCTCTATATCTGAGATGGTCTGCATTTTTCTGGTCTTTCTTGTTGATTTTGATAGCCTTTTGTTCACCATCCATGGTTTCTCTATTTTTCTGGTTGCCCTGAATCATGTTTTTCGATTCTGTGATGTTCTGTCTCATATTAAATGCTTGCTTTGATCTGGATCTTTTTTGGCTGATTTGGTGAAACTCAATGTGCTACTTCCTCCGTTTCACAATGTAAGTCATTCTAGCATTTTCCACATTCATATTGATGTTAATGAATCCAAATAGATATATATGTCTAGATTCATTAACATCAATATGAATGTGGGAAATGCTAGAATGACTTACATTGTGAAACGGAGGGAGTAAATCGGCTTGGTCCCAAACAAGTTTTTCTGATTTATGGTTTTCGTGCCACCACTTCAACAGCAGATCAGCAATACTTCAGACACTCTTCAGTGTTCTGTTCTATTTGCAAGTATTCGCTGGTCCACATCTGGAGCCAATTAATGTAACATTCATTTCATGCACTATGTAGGTTGCACTGAAGACACTTGTGGTGATCCACAGGCTTCTCCGGGATGGTGATCCTACATTCCGTGAAGAGTTTCTTACTTTCACACAAAGAGTGCGGATTTTGCAATTATCAAACTTCAAGGATGACTCCACCCCTGTTGGTTAGTAGAGCACATCAATTTTCTTTAGTATCACCTCCTAAATTCCCATTGTTTCTAATACAACTTTTTATCCAGCTTGGGACTATTCTTCATGGGTTCGTACATACGGTTTGTTTTTGGAGGAAAGACTGGAATGCTTCAGGGTCTTAAAGTACGATATTGAAGCTGAGCGTTTGTCGAAGCAGGGTCAAGGGCCTGAAAAGGTTTGGTTATTATCAATCTCATTTGGTTATTGTAGTCAAATTAGCTACCATGATTATAATTAGAGTTACAACATTTTGTCAATTATTGGTTTCTATCTTGCTGAATTCTTCATATTGTGACTTTTTCAGGGCCACAGTAGAACCAGAGAATTAGATTCTCCGGACTTGCTGGAGCAATTACCAGCACTGCAGCAGTTACTCTATCGACTTATTGGATGTCGGGTGATTTTCTCTTTTGCCAGTTTGGACTAATGGGGGAAATAAACATTCTAAAATCTAATTTTCCAGTCTGTTTTTTGTGAAGATAACCTGACAGCTTTCTTTCTTCTTATGCAGCCAGAAGGAGCTGCAAATAGCAATTATTTGGTGCAGTATGCTCTAGCTCTGGTAAGCTATGTTTTTTCTTTTACACCAGTGTTTTTCTTCTTGTGGATGCAGATGTGTTTCTTTTTATTACCCAATCGCTCCATTGCAAACATCTTGGTTGCCTTGGCACTTCATAATTTGTCAGGATGAAGAGCCATATCCTGCTATTACTGATATAATTGAGCAGTTCCTTCTCTGGACTAGAGTCTATTCTTAGAATAAGGGCATCTTTTGTGCAACATTGTATCTGTGCTATCTTTTTGCTCATGTCATTGCTTGCTTGTACAGATCTTTTGCAATATTTTGTAGAGCAAACTATGATCAGGTGGTGATGCCTTAGTAGAGTACATTCCTAGAAATTTTCCTTTGTTAAAATGGTTTTATATCTATATACTATCTTAGGACATTTGGACAGTTCTTTTTTCAGAATTTAAATCTTTTGGGGCATTCTATTTTGTGTTGATATCCTTAGTCATATAAGGAAATAAAAGTTTCTTTGGTGTTTTTTGTAATAACATTCTGGTCATAAGAAAACAAAAACGATCACTGTCCTTTTATGAATTAAATTTCCAGTTAGTGTTATGAATTAAATTTCTTGATAGTTTTAGTAATTTAATTTTATATTAGTTTAACTTGGTAAGTTGAGTGAATCTCCTTGCTTTGCACAGGTTCTTAAAGAAAGCTTCAAAATCTATTGTGCAATAAACGATGGAATTATCAACCTTGTTGACAAGGTAATTTGTTTTTATATTGACAGCACTATACTGTTTATTTTTGTTCTGGCAAGTTGTGCATACTAATATTTTCTTTTGTTGCTCGAAAATGATGCAGTTTTTTGAGATGCCAAGGCACGAAGCACTCAAAGCCCTTGAAATTTACAGGAGAGCTGGACAGCAGGTGATTCTAAGATTCTGAAGGATGGTTATCTGAAATTTGTGGTATTTCAAAGATGATGATAATGGTAGAAATAACACTGTTATGCTCTAGGCTGGAAGCCTATCGGACTTCTATGAAAACTGTCGGGGATTAGAACTTGCAAGAAATTTCCAGTTTCCTACTCTGAGGGAGGCAAGTATTTTTGTGCTAACTGTGCAACTTCTTGTATTGTAAATCAGAATCAGATAAATCATTGTCATCACTTTCTTTTTCTATATTTGTTCCAGCCACCACAATCATTCCTTTCGACCATGGAGGAGTATGTGAGAGAGGCTCCACGCATGGTTCCAATTAAGGAACCTTTGGTCAGTTCTTAGTTAAAATGACCTGCTATTTCTTTTAAAAATGCCTTCTACGTTTCGATATGCCTCCTTTATATTATAATAATCAAGCAGCAGCCCTGATGATGATGTTTGTGCAATATTTATCTTCAATTGAAATTTGAAACCATAGCAAAAGAAGAATCACATGTGTTGTGTCACCACAGTAAAATAATCACATGTTGATTTGTACTAAAATAATCATTCGATCTATAAAACGGATTCTTAAACTCTTAATAATTGTTATTTCACCAGGAGTTTCCTGAGAGACTCCTCCTGACATACAAACCAGAAGAATCAGAAGAGATTCCTGAGCCTGTTTCTGCTGAGGAGGAAAAACCACAAATTGAAGAACCTGCTGTTGCAGTGCCATCTACTGAAGTAGTTCCACCACCACCTCCTAAACCTGAGGTCGTAGACACCGGTGATTTATTGGTAAGTAGAAGAAACCATTTACTGCATGCTGCACTGGTTCATTTATCACAATTTAATGATATGTATGCTCCTAGGGATTAAGCGATCCAACCCCTAGTGTATCAGCAATAGAGGAAAGCAATGCTTTGGCCTTGGCTATTATTCCTACAGGTATTTTGTCATCCTTCAATCCAGTGATGCCTATCATGAACCTTGTGTTAGATAATTCTGAAAATTGTGTGCAATATAACAGGTGGTGAGACGTCAACAAGTGGCACAGCTACACTGCAAGATAAAGGATTTGACCCTACAGGATGGGAACTTGCTCTTGTTACTACCCCGAGCACCAACACAAACTCAATGGCCATGGACAGTAATTTGGTGGGTTTTCTTACTCTTTCTCTGAGGATATTTATGGTTAGTATAATGTCCCGCTTTGGATTTGGAAACTGTTATTCTGCTGTTAGTGGCTCCTGCCAGCTTGTCTTGGTTTTGGATCGGACGGGGTTTTAGCCATAGCTCCCAAATCAATCTGGCTGGAAAAGCTTTGCTGGTTCATTGTTGGTGAAAACAGGGAGCACAACTACTCATATATATCTGTTTATCAGAAAGCATTTAAGTGAGAAAAAATGATAACTTTGTAATTGGTGTGAATTGCAAGTAAATGATTTATTTCCTAGAATTAATGGACCTCATGGAGTCTTGGGCTAATCTAGAAAGTGGTTGTAACAAACTTGGTTAAGGTTAAGTCCATGAAAGACCTGCTGACATGCTCTGCTTCTCAAAGAAAAAGTTCATTATGCTAGCAAATTCTGCAATATCTCATCCTAATAGTGATTAACTTTGAGCTTGGACTTTTCCTTTTGCGTTTTCAATTTATTTGGGCAAAAGTGTCCCCAAACTCAACTTTCAGGTGAAAATCACGCTTTTCATAGACACAGTCTTTGGATTTGCTTCTAAATTTTAATGACTGAGCTGATAGTTGGCATCTTTACAATTTGTTCTACTTTTATACTTATGATCTCATAATGGTAATATTTAAAATTTTGAACTGTTGAGTGATTCGGGTTGGGTTCAGTAACCATGTGATTTTTTACTCCATATTTGCCATTATTGGTCTAGCTGATCAGGCCAAAATTTATTCTCTTGTTTTTGTCTGCAGGGTGGTGGATTTGACAAACTCATTCTGGACAGCCTATACGACGAGGGAACCTACAGGCAGCAGATGCAGCAGCAGCAGCTGTATGGTTCAGCTGCCCCCAACCCTTTCATGGCGAGTGATCCTTTCGCTATGTCGAATCAAGTAGCTCCCCCACCATCAGTTCAAATGGCTAGCATGACTCAGCAGCCCCAGCAGATGCCTATGATGATGCAGCCAAATCCCTTCGGGCCACCACTACAGCCGCAGCATGCAGGCATTGCTCAGGCACCCAACCCCTTCCTCGATGCTGGGTTCGGCCCTTTCCCAGCATCAAATGGGATGCACCCGCAAGCCAACCCGTTTGGAACCGCCCAACTTTTGTAGGGTCACAGTTAACACACGAGATGGGCACTTGGGCAGTGCAAATTCAAGTCTATTGAGTTGCATATTGCATATTCAGAAGTGAGATTTGCAGATGTCGCAATGGTATACATACTTTGTATTGGCTTCTCTTGGGCTGTGTGGCCGCTTGGCGATCTTGATTTTTTGTAGTTCAAGCCTGTAAACCTCCTGTGCAGTAGTATTTGTTTTTTTTTTTCACCATTTGTGACGGCGGCTGGTCTGGGACGATTCTCCTTGTAAAGAAATTTATTTTCTCTGATTCATAGTTACATGTCAAAAAAAAAAGGTCGTAAAACTGGTGATAGCTACCAGAGTATATATACTTTTGTAACTAAAGATATTTTCAGTTTAGACTTTGTGCATCGAACTGTAGGAGTAGCAATGGCAATTCTGCTATGATAGCTTGGAATGCTCGCGGATCCATATCGTGGCATATGTTACAGCTATTCTTTTGTTTTACCCCCAAGTTATATGTCTTATATGGTCAGAAGCACGCCGACGAAACGACAGTAGAGGGATACTCCCTGTCGCTCGTGAGTGTAATCACGTGGGACACCGGGTTCGCTACCTCATCCATCGACGTGGTACGAGTAATTCTTCTCATCGATTCAACTTTACTCCTAGAGATTTTACTCCGGTCCTATAAAAAAATATCTTGAGGTATCGTGTCACAATCCTCAACCCACCCACTGATCAATGCCCAGCACCGGAAGCAACCGATAATTCACAGCAGTAATCACTCAAGTAATTTGGATACAATTGAGAGGAATTAGCAATGTAGATTGGGAAGAGAAGCGGGGGACTGGGAATAAGAGAACAGAGCCTAGGATTGGAAGAACAGAGAGATGAGAGGAAATTGGAGAGCCTAGGATTGGAAGAACATAGAGATGAGAGGAAATTGGAGGAGGAAGAAGCCTTGGCTTCAGTTCTGTTGATTTCTTCATCGATGCCTCATATGTTGCTGTTCCTTCTCTTTTAAAGGCATGCACCCTGTTTGTCTGGATCAAAGCCCCGTGCCTGAAGCCCGGCCCATAGGACGTGGCATTCTCCCTTCCTTTAGTTTCGGCTTGTCCCCAAGCCGATGCCTTTGATGCCTCCAGGATTCCATATTAGTTGCAAGGAGCATAGTGTATCATGATCATTAAGCAATAGTGACTCCCAAAGCTTGTTATCCTGCCTTTGCAATGTTTGTCCTTGAGGTCCTGGTTCGGAAAGCTCCTCAATAATTTCCCGCAACCAGGATTTCTTCAGTGAAACAACCGTAGTTATTACCCTGACTAGATGATAAGAAGAATAGCCCAACCCGAGATCGACAAACTGATCACTTGTTGCAAACCATCCAATGGGTCTGGGCCATATTACAAACTCCTCATCTGAAGTTGGTAGCTGTAACATGTCAACTGGAATCACTTCATTCAGATTAATTAACTTGGAGTTCAGTGATACCCATGAATATGTGCAACTCTTTGTATACCAGTCACTAGTCTTCATAGTAGGCTGTAGACATTGCAGTACTGCACTAGAGAGAAACTCACACTGTAATGTCCAATTTGTAGCATCTCCAAACAATGCCATAGTCTTCACCAATAAGAAATGTCGGTTGTCATGGGAAGCCATCCATTTTTCAAGGGATCTGCTACACAAACACACCATTGGCACAACTACTGAACTGGGGCAAAAGGATGGATTGAGTGCATGCATTGTTAGTTGGAGCTCATTATACTCTGCAGACCAGAGAGTGAAAACTGAAACCTGAACCTCTATAAAAGTTCCACCCGACCAAGAACACTTGAGGTTGTGCCAATTATGCACTTTGCCAGCTAAGAGAGGAATTGCACTCTTCTGTTGACACCTGATTACCTGCCAGTACTCATGCTTCCATAACCCCACGATAGTATGACTTCCTTTAATCTTGCATTTGCATGAAAAACTCTCTCTAGCATGCGCAAGTAATGTAACAGCACATGCATTAAGAGGAGGTGTCCATGGTATTTTCAGCTGAGCCATCTCCCTCCAACAAGAATGTATTTTTCCACGCAATAGCTCCAATCCAATCAACAATTCCAAGCAGTTCATTTCCTTGTATATAGCAGATTGCCACTGTGTCGAGCTTTGAAAGACTTGATCATCCAGCACTAATAGTCCTTGAATATTCTCCCATACATAGCTGGAAATCCAATTCATATTTACTTGATGACATATCTCCAATACTTCCTTGATCACCTCATTTAACAGAAAATAAGGTGGTGGCCAAGGCCTCAACTCAATAGAACACGTCCTCTCTGAAATCAGTGTTTTTGAAGCCTCACCTTGACAATCAACCTCAATGGAATTGAGTACACAGCCAAATAATTGTAGTGCTCCAACTTCAGCTTTAGCTTCTGCTTGAGAAGGTGGTTGCCGGGGATGTAAGAGCTTCGTCATCACCACGCCTCAGCTGTCTTGACTCAACCACGGATCAGGCCATGGTAAAGGCCGAGAACCTAAGGTCATCTCAGCCTTGTACCATGGAATTGCCGCTTTCCAAGGTGGTACTGGTGGAGAGCTACCTGTTTTCTGTAGTGTGAACTTGGAGTTCACTTCAGTGAGCTCAACTAAATCCTCGGTGGCCATGTCATCGTCATCATCATTGATCATTTGTTCATTGCCTTCCGTCAAACACTTGGTGGCTGTCACCATGCACAACTCATTAGTATCAACCAAGCTGATTGAATTGGCCTCATTACTAACCTCCAATGTGTTGGGGACTGATTTGGTGTTGGTGCTTGTAGCTGCCACAACTCTGGTGATATCAACGCTCGTAGTTGACTCAACCTTGATGTCGCGGCATGTCACGAGTATCTGATTGATCATGTCCTTTATCTCAACACACAAATCATGGAAGGTCTTTTCTGATTTATCCTCCGCCTTGCCCATGTCAGCCCAATTCTCCTTGGTCGCGGTGAGGGAAATCGGTGGCACCACAACTGCTGATTCGTCTGAGGGCGTGGATGGACTCATGGTGGCCGGGAACACATGTTCTAGAGTAGTAGAAGTGCTCTTGGCATCAGACTTGATGTTGGCGCAGCTTGGTACCGGCGTCGAACACTTGGTGGGCGTCATGTTGACACCGTTCCCGTTGAAAGGATGCACGTGCTGGACATCAAGTAGACAACACCCATCATAGATATTGCGCCCATTGGTGACAGATCGAGCCCTCTCTGCATCACAGCTTGACCGGAACCACACGAAGGCCTCAACACCCAAAGGACTCGTGGTGAGGACTTGCACCGCCACAGCTCCATAGGTGTTGTAAACTTGATGCAGCACCTCGCTGGTCACCGGGTAAAGGACTTGGCTCACTTGGACACGAAGAGCAGCGCCTGCGCCATCTCCTAGCCAGCTCGGCATTTCACCGAACACCTGGCGGGCACCACCAGCACTAACCCCTCCACGGCTCAAATTCCGCCTCCAAAGGTCACCATTGCAACTGTGTGTCGCCCAACACGCCTCCTTGCTTGGAATCCCACGAATTGACTGCTCTGATACCATATTGTCACGATCCTCAACCCACCCACCGATCAATGCCCAACACCGGAAGCAACCGATAATTCACAGCAGTAATCACTCAAGTAATTTGGATACAATTAAGAGGAATTAGCAATGTAGATTGGGAAGAGAAGCAGGGGACTGGGAATAAGAGAACAGAGCCTAGGATTGGAAGAACAGAGAGATGAGAGGAAATTGGAGGAGGAAGAAGCCTTGGCTTCAGTTCTGTTGATTTCTTCATCGATGCCTCATCTGTTGCTCTTCCTTCTCTTTTAAAGGCATGCACCCTGTTTGCCTGGATCAAAGCCCAGTGCCTGAAGCCTGGCTCATAGGACGTGACATATCGGTATCTCATAGTACCAAATCGTTTTTTATCGTTGAACGTTGAATCTATCTAGGTAGGATGGACATGGTTAGATTAAACGATCGAAGATACTTTGATAGTACCGGTACCTCGAGGTGTTTTTTTTTTAACTGAAGCAAATCTCTTACTCGTATTGCGCTCGTGCGTGTGGGCAAAATGCCAAAATCGATGGCAGTACTGCTTTGAGTTCTCGCTTTGATCTTCACAAAGTTTTCACCCTTTTGCCAACCGAACATGGCTATTCCTCTACGATTCAGTTTTATACTAGTGCCACAACGAGCAGCGTGCAAGGTCGGGGGATGCAACTCTCAACTTTTCTGCTTCGTTCGCTTGGTTACACGCGACGATCAGCGAGGAGCTGCACGTGGTCCGATCCTTTTCCTTTTGCTTGGGGAGTAGTACCATGTTGTCGAGATGATTTCGACGTGGCGAGACACGATAGAGTGTCGTATATCAGCACATGAGTACACGAGGCAGCGCGCATTAGCGCCGTCTGGAACGAAAGGCATATTTTCTCTCTGCTGCATCACAACACAGGAAAATTTCTTTATTCGAGCGCTTCGATTCTGCACCATTTCACATACTCCCTCCATCCTATTTTAGCCACGGTCGTGGATTTTGTGTTCAATGTTTCATCGTCCGTCTTATTTAAAATATTTTTATAATTATATTTTTATTATATTAATGATAAAATATGAATAGCACTTATGTGTTATTTATTTTTAAACTTTTTTCTAAAATTTTTAAATAAGATGGAGAGTGAAATATTAGACACGAAAACTTATATCCGTACTTAGAATTGAGAGGGAGGGAGTATAGGGCCTGTTTAGTTCGCGAAATAAAAATTTTTGAGTGTCACATCGGACGTTTGATTGGATGTCGGAAAGAGTTTTCGGACACGAATGAGAAAACTAATTTCATAACTCGTCTGGAAACCGCGAGACGAATCTTTTGAGCCTAATTAATCCGCCATTAGCAAATATGGATTACTGTGGCACTTATGGCTAATCATGGACTAATTAGACTTAAAAGATTTGTCTCATGATTTACTCCCTAACTGTGTAATTAGTTTTTCTTTTAATTTATATTTAATACTTCATACATGTGTCAAAGATTTGATGTGATGTTTTTGAGAAAAAATTTTTGGGAACTAAACATTGCCTAAAGATTTCTGCAGAAATACTCCTGTGATTCGGCCGCTTTGAATCTGCGCGGGACCCGAATGAAGCCAAGCGCACCACCTCATCTCAGGCAAAACGACGAAAAGAAAAAAAAAATCTGATCTGCTCGGATCTCGCGGTCGATCTGATCGCGCGCTCAGCCGCTCCTCCCCTGGATCCTTCTTCTCCCCCTCTCCCCTCTCCCGCCTATAAGAGTCCCTCCCTCCTCCCCTTCGCTGCGCACTCACCTCTCATCGTCGCACGCACGCCCGCACCTCCTCCCCTCCCCCCTCAAAACCTCCGCCGTGATCCGGTGGTGGATGCAGCCTCGTGGGCGATCCTTCAACCGCCGCTCCCGGAGCTTCTCCCGCGCCCGCCTCGCCATCGAGGGGTCTTAATCTCGCCGGCCTCCTCCCTTCTCTCAGACTCTCAGTCGCTAAACCCTCCCCTCTAAAATCGCACTGAACGAACGGTCGAACGATCCCGCCGAGATGGACGCCGCGGCCGCCACCGCTGTTAATGGTAAGCAGAAGGACGTCTCCTCCCCCCCACGGATCGGATCGGGCCTGATCTGTTCTGTTTTGCCCTGCGTTTTGTTCTCGTTCTGCTTGATCTGGTTTGGGGATGGATGGGGGCGTGGGGGTGTTGGTGTTGGTGTGTTGGATTTTGCGGATCTCGTTCGTGCGGAGGGCGTTGTTTTTGCGGGGTGATGTTCTGACGCGTCTGCGTTTGTGTTCGCAGGAGTGCTTGAGGTGGAGGAGAGGAAGGCGCAGAAGAGCTACTGGGAGGAGCACTCCAAGGACCTCACCGTCGAGGCCATGATGCTCGACTCCCGCGCCGCCGATCTCGACAAGGAGGAGCGCCCCGAGGTGATACCACAGTGCCACCTGCCTAATTCCTTCTCCGCTGTCCAGTGATTTACTGGTGCTTAGCAGTAATTTCTGTGAAATGTACTGGTCATTTTCTTATCCGCTTACTAGATCTGGGGCGCGTGCATGCACTTTTTGGTACTTTTCCCAACCAAATACAGTTCCTACGTGGTAGTAAGTGGCGCGTGGTAAATGATGAACCGGGACAAACTGGTCGGCATTTCGTGCATTGCTTTTCTAGAATTGTTCAACACAGATGTACTCAAAGGAGAACGGAGGTTGGAGAGCCTGGTGTTCGTTTTTCTTTTGAGAGAGTGACTGATGTTGACTCGTATGTTTTTGGGTAATCCTTGAGTCAAAAGTGATTTTTCTTAGGCCTTGTTTAGTTAGGGAAACTTTTTGTGTTTGGTTGTCACATCAGATATCGGATATACGGACACACATTTGAAGTATTAAACATAGTCTAATAACAAAAAAAAAATTACAGATTCCGTCAGGAAAGTGTGAGACGAATTTATTAAGCCTAATTAATTCGTCATTAGCAAATGTTTACTGTAGCTCCACATGGTCAAATCATGGCGCAATTAGGTTTAAAAGATTTTTCTCGCAATTTACACGCAAATTATGTAATTGGTTTTATTTGTCCATATTTAATACTTCATGTATGTGTTCAAACATTCGATGTGATGCGTGAAAAGTTTTTGTTTTGGGAACTAAACAAGGCCTTAGCAAAATGGAGTGAACACTTGACATGACAGCAGACCTTGACATAGTAGCATCACATAGGGTCCATATTACATAAGGTGTTTCTTAGGTAGACAGCTGAATTGTTGTCACTGTTTTACTTAAAGGAAAAATTCTGTTTTGCTGTTTCCTTTTTCCAGACTAGAAGATGATGCTAGACCTTTTACTTTAATGATCACAGACCTGTTTGCTGACTGTACGAAGTAAAACTCTTTTCACAAGAAAAATACCCACTTAAGAATTTTTGGGGACTGTACTCGCACGAGAATGTGTTACTGTAACTGTCAATAATACTACCATTAGCAGGTGAATGAGATTGTTCCCTCTCACTCAATTGTCACAGTAATTATTAACCTTTTTAAAATTAGCATAGTCACATTGATTAGACATGTTTTTTGGATGCTGGAAAATGTTTTCCTGGACTTATGTTCTAACGTATCTCTTCTGACACTTCTGCAGATATTGTCTTTACTTCCTCCTTACGAAGGAAAATCAGTACTGGAACTTGGTGCTGGAATAGGTCGCTTCACTGGAGAACTAGTGAAAACAGCTGGGCATGTTCTTGCAATGGATTTCATTGAAAGTGTGATTAAGAAGGTTTAACATTCACATCTCATTTAAAACCTTAAAACCAGTTTGGTAGCTGAACTATGATTGGCTTCGCTGAACTATGATTGGCTTCTTTTATCTCTACATGAATGTTATGCCTGATTCATTTAGTCTTGTGTGTCGTTTCTTGTAGAATGAAAGCATAAACGGTCACCACAAGAATGCATCCTTTATGTGTGCGGATGTCACATGTCCAGACCTGATGATTGAGGATAACTCCATTGATCTGATATTTTCAAACTGGTTACTGATGTATCTTTCAGACGAGGAGGTAATGAGCAGATAGTACTTAATAGGCCTCATATCGTGTCTCATTTCAAATAAATAAGCATATTTAAGATCTGTTGCGATCCTTCTTTGCACATCTGAATATGTCTTGGGAAATGAACCCTGGATGATATAAATCGACTTTGTGTTGAAACTTGGTATGTCTTGGCTATGTCTTCTGAGTTTGCTAACTCATACTGTTACTGTAGGTTGAGAAGCTAGTAAAGAGAATGGTAAGATGGCTAAAGGTTGGCGGCTATATCTTCTTTAGGGAATCTTGTTTCCATCAGTCTGGAGATTCAAAAAGGAAAGTGAATCCTACACATTACCGGGAGCCAAGGTTTTACACTAAGGTCAGTATGCTAACTATCTTGTTTCTGGTTCCCTTCTATCATTTGAATCTCAAGCTTGACAGTTCAAGGTTTTCTACTAGACTTGCCTCGTTAAATGTTACCCACTTTACTGAATCTAAACTATACACACAGTATGCTTATAGCAGCACTGAGCAATGTTATTTGCGCTACTTTGTAACAAGTTGTGATGATTGAAGGCTAACAGATTGATTTAAAAATAGGTGTTTAAAGAGTGTCAAGCTCTTGATCAAGATGGGAATTCCTTTGAACTCTCTGTACTTACTTGCAAGTGTGTTGGAGCTTACGTGAAAAGCAAGAAAAATCAAAACCAGGTACTTCTTTGTCCTTGCACATCCACATACACACTCATGTCCTGTGATCAAGTGAACTGATGGACTTGATGCCATACTATGCAGATATGTTGGCTATGGCAAAAGGTTGATTCAACAGAAGATCGGGGGTTTCAAAGATTTTTGGACAATGTGCAGTACAAAGCCAGTGGAATATTACGCTATGAACGCATCTTTGGAGAAGGCTTTGTGAGCACTGGTGGAATTGGTTAGTAAATGCATGTATTTTTTGTCATTTTTAAATCAGTAATATTCTAATTTGTTCTAATTTGTAGTATGCCTATTCTTTTATCTTCGTTCACCAGAAACTACAAAAGAATTTGTGGACAGGCTGGATCTCAAACCTGGCCAGAACGTTCTTGATGTTGGATGTGGAATTGGGGGCGGTGATTTTTATATGGCTGACAAGTATGATGTTCATGTTGTTGGTATTGATCTTTCGATAAACATGGTTTCTTTTGCACTTGAGCGTGCTATTGGGCGTAAGTGCTCAGTTGAGTTTGAAGTCGCTGATTGCACCAAAAAGACATACCCAGACAACACGTTTGACGTCATCTACAGTCGTGATACTATCCTTCACATACAAGTACGTTTTACACATTATTTACAACCCATTTGGATGTTTTGTTTCTTCCTGGTTTATTGCTCTACAGCCTACAACAGTTTAAATATTTTCAGCTTGAAATGGACTGTTTTAGGCAAGCCCTGAGAACCTGTATATACATTTGTAGTAATTGTTAGTGGGATTGTGGGAAAAATAAATTCTTGGAACTATTTGAATTACCTGCCACTAAATATGTTTTACCCTTTCTTTGATGCCAGAACAACTGTGTTTTGACCAGTGCTGTTTTTGCTCTTTGCAGGATAAACCCTCACTATTTAAAAGTTTCTTCAAGTGGCTCAAACCTGGGGGTAAGGTCCTAATTAGTGATTACTGCAAGTGCCCTGGGAAACCTTCAGAAGAGTTCGCAGCTTACATTAAGCAAAGGGGTTATGACCTTCACGACGTCAGGGCTTACGGACAGGTGCTTTTGCTAGCTACACTCTATATGATTAATAGTACTGTTTCTTTCATGAAAGTGTAGAGCTATGGTAACATCTGTTTGGTAAATTATCCAGATGCTTGAGAATGCTGGTTTCCATGATGTCATTGCTGAAGACCGCACCGATCAGGTAATCCCCCTCTGGAGCTACACTGGCTGCATTCCCATATTCTCTTCAACTGAAATGTAGATATGATTTTCTGTGGTACTGATCATATTCAATCTTGTATTGCAGTTCCTCGATGTTCTAGAGAGGGAGCTTGCTAAAGTTGAAAAGAACAAAAACGAGTTCGTCTCTGATTTCAGCCAGGTAATTTAGGCAAAACTGCGAGTTTAGTAGCTGCCTTCTTTCCATGTTGCTGGTATGCACATCAAATTCTTTGTTTCACTTATTTTCAGGAGGACTACGACGCCATTGTGAATGGATGGAAGGCAAAACTTCAAAGGAGTTCTGCTGGTGAGCAGAGGTGGGGGCTGTTCATCGCGACCAAGTGATGAATCAAGATGCGCAGCGTGGGGGGGACTCGCAAATAAATTGGTTTCATGCCGTGTGTCCATCATATTACATTTTTGTTGTCAAGTTATTTAATTTCGAATTCGGTGTACTTCTTGTGGAGCTTTTGATGTTGTTGGGACAAAAAACAAAAATAACCAGAGTTCAGCCCGCGTTGTTTTCGACTTCTTGAGCTGGAAAGTTCAGTTGCATAAAGAAAATTCAGGTGTACTCGGTGTGAAACTTTTGATGTTGTTTGGATATAAACAAAAACCAAAGTTCGGCCCCCATTGTTTTCGACTTGTTGTAGAGCTGGAAAGTTCAGTTCCTTAAAGCAAAAGCGTTATCCGTGGGCAATTGCAGAACAGCAAGCCGGAATAACTAGCGGCGTGAAGTCCTCGCACTTCATGCATCTCCCGTCGCAGGCTCGCAGCTTCCCGCGTTAGTTTCTACAGGGACCGGGAGGGAAGCCGAAACCGCAAAACGAGCCAACGACGCCACATCCGTTTCTCACGAGCCAAGTAGTCAACCAGGAACGGGTCCAGATCCCCCACGCGCAATGCGCAAAGGGCGTGGACGTGGCGGAGAGAGACGAGAGGCAGGTAGCTGAAAGGAAGTAGCGGCAACCGGCAGGGCAACACGGGTGGCATGGACGATGACTTCAGTCTTCAGAGTTTGGCCAAGACACAGACTCTCTTCCTCTACAAGGCTGCCCCTACCTGCCTGTCTGCCTTGCCTGTACCGCTGTACGCGCGTGATGGCGCCATGTGCATTGCTGCATCTTCTCCTCTACAACCATCGCCGCATTCCTGCATTTTCTCTTTTTAGAGAATGCTAGACAGGCGGGCTTCCGGAGTTTTAGAGAATGCTAATCAGCTCCCTTTTTCTTTAGAAAAAAAAATAATCAGCTGCTTTTATCTCAGGTGCAGACTCCAGAGGTCCTACTGGCTACTGCTGGCGTGGGGATGCACAGTTCTCACCGCGGTAAACGACGAACTTGGTAAACGAACTTGCACCGTCCTTGGATTTGTTCCTCCCTGCAACGTTTGTCTTCTCTTTTGATTTGTAAACCAAAGATTCGAGAGGGACTGTGGTGATATATATTCTTCTTTTCTTACGATGGCAGATGATGCCGTTCCAACCGTCCACATGCCATTGATTTTTAGCGTCGAATGGACAGTGTGGTCTTGAAGGTAAACGCCAACATTGGTTCTGTGTGGTATAAAAGTGACCCAAGGGCTGCACACATACACAAAAAATAATGACATCAAGAAAGAAAACAAGTGGCAAAGCTCCACATTATCATGCTCAAAACCAATGATAATTTTCGATGGTCATCGGTGAAACTAAAAGGTTCCATTAGGACACAGAAAATTTTACAAAAAGAATCATAGAATATAGTTAATTTCTTAAGTACTACTTAATACAAAATTCCACTAAATTTACTCAGTTGAAAGGAGCCAAAACTACCACCCGTCTTAAAATGGAGGTACCTAATACAATATATGAGATATCATCTGATACTATCAATCACTATAGCTTATCCATAGTACTATATGAGCCATATTGTAACTTGTCTAAATTCATAGTATTGGATATGTATTACAGTATTAGGTAGCTATATAGCAAAACAAAGGTAGTACTTAATACTCCCTCCGTCCAAAAAAAAACAAATTTAGAACTGAAGTGAAATCTGGATAAAGATATATCTAAATTTATGGTATAAGGATTTATTACATTTAGCACTAGGTATTTTTTTAACAGAGGGAGAGGGAGTACTCTGTATTTTAGCCTAGAGGCAGTAACACCTTGCCCTTAACGGAAGTTCCGTCATAACTGACGCTGATCCCGCCTGTCCCACCTGTCCACCACGCCGCGAAATCGCGAATCCCCCACCGGCCCGAGCCACGACTGGCCAGCCACTTTGCACGCCCGTGCCGCGCCTCGCCTCGCCTCTGTGCGACCGGCCCCCGCACCCACCCGCGCACGACGCAGACGCCGCGCGCGTCACGAGGCCCAAAAATCGCACCAAAAGCTACGGGAAAACACAACACCACCACCACCACCGCCCCCCCACGTCTCCGTTTCTCCGCCGCCGCGGCGATCACAAGGAGATCTCCCCTCTCTCTCTCTCTCTCTCTCTCTCTCTCTCTCTCTCCTCGCGCTCGCTTTTAAATGCCACCGAGGCCCACGGTGTGGGCTGGTCCACCGCACGCCGCGCCCGCGCAAGACGCCGACGATGCCGGCGGCGAAGAGGTCGGCGTCGGCGGGGTCGGTGCTGGCCCTCACGGTGGCCGGACGCCGCGCCGCGCGGGCCCGCCTCTGCCTCCGCCTGGCCGCGCCGCTCTCGTTCCTGCTCCTCCTCGCCGCGCTGCTCCGCACCCAGCCCCTCCCGGCGCCGCCTTCCGCGCCGCCGCCCTCCGGGGGCCCCGCTAGGGTCGCCTTCCTCTTCCTCGTCCGCGCGGGCGTCCCCCTCGACTTCCTCTGGGACGCCTTCTTCCGCGTGAGCCCCAATCATCCACCTCCGCTGATTTTCGTTTAGTTCGTTCATTTGTTCGTCCCTGTTTGACTATTCGATTGGTTCTGATCGACCGGGTGTTCGGCAGAACGGCGAGGAGGGCAAGTTCTCGGTGTACGTCCACTCGGCGCCTGGCTTCCAGCTTGACCGCACCACCACGGGATCGTCGTACTTCTACGGGCGGCAGCTCGCCAGGAGCGTAAAGGTTCGGCCATTTCTTTTGCGTGATCTCTTGCTTCTGATGTGATGGCGTGTATCGACATGAGACCTGGGTACGATTTGAGTAGCGAGGAATATGGTTGTGCCTTGCAGGTGGCGTGGGGCGAACCTACCATGGTGGAGGCAGAGAGGATGTTGTTCGCCGCCGCCCTCGAGGATCCAGCGAACCAGCGCTTTGTTTTGCTCTCTGATAGGTACGGTACATTCCCCCACATGCGAGTGCCCTGTTCTTGCTCGTACATAGTTCAAATTTTATGGGGAGTGGACCATGATTAAATGTTCAACTGTGGTCTGTGGCTGTCAGACTCGTGATTGGTTTAATAGCTGAAGGTTTAGTAATGGCAAATCGGCAAGTGAACTCGTACGGAACCAGTTTGTACTTTGCAGGACTCTATAGAGGGCATTCTTCTTAGTGATGCATTTAGATTGTGGTTTCCTGTTGTGGTGCTGCTAAGGTTTCTTGAGAAGCTCTCTCGCTTTTGCTTGGTCTCATAAGTAATGTTAGAAAAAAAAATGCAACTGTGAAGGCATCCCATAATTCCGTGAATGCCTTTTCTTGGTTTCCCTTGTGGGTGCTCACCTTGAAGAGTTTCCCATGATGAGTGTTACCCATCTCTATAGGTTAGAGAGAGTTAGAGTGACATTCTGATCATATTCCCCACTAGTCAGTATGCTTTAAGTCTTTATGTTGTAGTTTGAATTTCAATTTTTTTTATGTACCAATGTTTATCATCTTATAGACGTTTTCAACATTAACATTTCAAAATATCCTTTTCTACTGCAGCTGTGTTCCTCTGTACAATTTCAGCTACATATATACTTACTTGATGGCTTCGACTAAAAGTTTTGTAGACAGGTAAGAGTAAAAAGATCATCTGAAATCTTGCAAGTTCATGTTTGTTCCTATAGGCTACATGCCATATTTCAATTTTTATTTCTCAAAATTAGTATGTTGATATTTTCCAGTTTTGTTGACAAGACCGAGAAGCGTTACAATCCAAGCATGTCTCCTGTTATCCTAAAGGACAAATGGAGGAAAGGATCACAGGTTTCTGTAATTTCTTGCCATTCTTGTTCTTGTAATCAGTATTTCATTTTTATTCAGAGTTTTACACTGAACCATCTATCCTCTCATTTCAGTGGGTAGCATTGACCAGAAGACATGCAGAAGTAGTCGTTGGCGACAAACTTGTCTTGCAAGTATTCAGAAGGCATTGCAAGGTATATTGCCTTTTGAGTTTATTCTTTTCGACATTGGAGTACTTGCTTAGCTTGATTTAGTCCTTTTCAATCCTTCACATGTTAACCCATTTCAAGAAAATTAGTTATTAACCAGGTTACTAGTCTGTTCCAAGTATCCTTTTCAATTTCCCTCAAATTTCTGCTGTAAATGTTAGAACCTTTGTGACTTGAACTTCAACTTGTTTAGCAAACATGTTAGTAGGTATGTGGCTTGCTTATATGGGATGTGAATGTGAGACTAGTTTTCTGTTCCCTTGTTTGTAGATATTTGATGCCTTACAGTGTTAAATAATCAAATGATACTATCTAATCAATTAAGAACGATAGTATCCTAGTGCTCTGCTGCCTCGATGGCAATGCTTTGTCTGTATATATATGCTATTTTTTAGGGGAAAAAAATGCCAACCAAGTTGCAGCATAATTGTCTGAGAAAAGTTCCATCAAATCTATATATGTTCAGTTCAGTCAAAAAAAAAAATCTATATATGTTCAGAATGGGGGTTTTGTGCTATACATTTACATTTTATCAGCAATACTTTTTCTGATAGCCTATATCATCCAGCTACATAATTACTGCATGATAAGAATATATATATTTATCTTAGCCAATTGTTTGTTCCTTGTAGAATTGTCCTTATGCACAATGCGAACTGATTATGTTCTCATTAGATTAATCCAACTTCTAAAAGTTGTGTAAAACTGAAAAAAAAATGAATGGAGTTAAATTGTTCTTATGCTGAATTAAGACAACTGTTCGTATTTATTTTGGTCCATTAATCCTACATATTCTTCTATATGTAGCACTAACGATTCTATTGAATTTGACCTGATTGTTGCAGATGGTAGTAACTAAGGCTTTGCTTGGACAGAAGCCTAATTATGTAAGTGTTTAGTTTAATTTGGATTCCTTTTCAGTCTAGTTTGAAGAGAGGATCATTTTAACATACATTGGCTAATATCATGTATAATAACAATCATTGACTTTGTCTTCCAATTCTTAAGTGACACCATTTCTTTACCGTAGGTATAAACAACTTTTCATATGTAATACTATCCTTCGCTCAATGATAACTAAAGCGAGTTTTTATTCTGCTGTCTGACATGTAGTTTTATATGATGTGAATACGAATAGTCTTTTTTGTTTTCTCTTGATCACCAAAATCAAATGATTTATCTCATTTTTACACCCTTCTAAGGAATGTTTCATTATGTACCCAATAGTACTGTTGTTCCCTGAATTAATTATATTTATCAATACCTACGATTGTTGCACTTATTAAGTATTATGCTTCTCTTGCAGCGAAGATTAGGATTTGGACTTCGTCGAAAGCAGATATCGGTAAAGTTTCAACCGGTCACATTCTCTTTTATCTATTCTCAAGATGTCAAGCACGCATTCAGATGGAACTTTCATATATTTATTTGACAAATGGAAGTTCAGATTGTCAAACTTGTTCATATGTTTGCATATGAAATGCTACCGTCAATTTCAAGCTGTTGCTCACATCACAAAAGTTTCTTGCAATTGAGCTCTTCACTGAGACATGATATCCATGCTAAACCTTGCAGAAAGGATCTACTCGAATGGAGCATGATTGCATTCCAGATGAACACTATGTGCAGACATTATTTTCAGTAAGGCTTGTTATTGTTGATATTGATTTGCAGACTGCAGGACATAATCGTATGTTCTTCACAACAATTCATAATGTTTCCCATTCTTTTAACTTTGTAGATCAATGGACATGAAAATGAACTGGAAAGAAGAACTTTGACATATACATCATGGAACCAGTCCTCAGATCCTAAAGACAAAATGACTTGGCATCCAATGACATTTGAGTATGAGTCAGCAAGTCCTGAGCAAATCAATTCAATTAAGGTAATATCTGTGGATTTTGTTTTGTCATCTTTTTTTTTCTTTTTCAGTTGGCTTGTGAATGATAAAAAAGCTCTAGTGTTCTATCTCACTTGTTTGCCTCACAACCTGTCCATCTCGTAGGAAATTCAATTTAGATAGTGTAATCAATTCTCCTTGTTTTGTCCTGAATAAAGAACTAATCTACTCAGAAACATGTATCTGCATAGCAGAGGTCCTTTCCAGTTTGCGAACTCCAACCTTTGTTACAAGGAATGTGTTTCCATGTTTATGTTGACTGGTTTCCCTGTCTATACTACCTGATGTTAAATTCTATTCCTAAGAATAAAGTCAGACACCGCATCCTGTAGTGCAGGACCTCTACCTTCTATGGCACGTTATTCTGTTAATTGATTCTCACTTAAAGTTTGCTGCATTTTACAGGGTATTGATCATGTGAATTATCAGATGGAGCACAGAACTGAGTGGTGCCAATGCAATACTACATCCGTTCCATGTTTCCTATTTGCCAGGAAGTTCTCCTACAGTGCAGCCATGCATCTATTAGAGGCTGGGACGGTCGGTCCACTAAAATCTGCTCTACTGGCTTAACTATTACTACAAAATTTTGATCACACGAGTTCTCATTTTTAGTTTATCATGGCCGGCCATAGTTTATAGTCCATCAGCATCATTAGGTTCAGTAGCATCTGCAGCTGAATCTGCGGAGCGACCGGAGTACCATAGTGTATTATTATTGATAGTGTTCAGATTTGTGCATAGACCACTGGGACAGAAGAGGTTTGATGTACAGAGCATCAGTTTTGGAGCTTGTCAGCTCGGCTACATTGCAATATCCAACGACAGAATGAGGCAGGATCAGATCAGGTATCTTGTGACGAAGAATGAAGAATGCTCAACCCTTCTCCCGATGGTATTTACTAATTACAGGATAGGAAAGCTGTAACAATATCTTGATAAATGATCATATACACATTAACAAATTTAATAAAGTACAAAGAAAATATTTTTTGTTATTCCATTTTTCCGCAAGAGAAAAACATCCCAGCAATTTATCTGTTACAAGTTTAATCTCATAGTATTATGCAACTTATGCAAGCAGGGAATAGATGTAATCGCCGAATAAAAATTGAAAATATACCTTTTTATTTAATATTTTATGTTTATATATATGCATGGGAATGATTTGTAAAAATATACCTCTCCCGCATGATGGGAACGTGGGACCGTTACAAACACGCGACATAGCTTCGGTTCCGCAGGTCGGAAGCGCGGAATAGGGTCGATCGCGCTGCCCTGTCACGCGGGAGCGTGGTGGAGAACGCGGTCCCGCGTAACCATGGCGCGGCACCGGCTGCTTAGCAGAGGAAGCTAGCTTGCGCAGCTGCTTAGCTATATATATTATTTGCTTTGATTTGCTTTGATTAAGGCCAGTGTGATTAATTAGGTTAATTAAGTAATTGGTGCCGCACCACTGGCATGCGGGAGCGCTGGTCTGCGCCGGTGCCGCGGGATGGTTCTGCGGTACCGCTCGTCGGTGCCGCACTATGGTTCCGCGGGACCGCGGTTCCGCGCATCCGTCCCGCGGGATCGAAGCCGTGCCGCGCTGAACGATCTGACCGCGTATTGATGCTGTGATTACATAGCGATCCCGCGTTAACACTGTGCGGAAGAGGTATATTTTTACAAATTATTCCTATGCATGTATATAAATGCAAATATTTAAAAAGAAAATATATTCTCAAATTTTTTTCTGTAATCGCCAAGCTGTTCAGCACACTGGTCATGTTGTGCAATACGAAATATCCTGCTAGCCATATGATCCATGGAACATATAATGAGAAACTATTTTTCTTATTTATCAGGCACGTTCCTCGTTGCAAAGTCCCAGAAGTTAGAAACCTATCACACCTATGCTATACATCCCAACAAGAAGCCAAGAACCAGAATAATCCACGAGATGCCAAAATTGGCCTTATTTTTCAGCCGTGTTCTACTTGCTCCTCTTGTAGATCTTGTGCAGAAAAGATTTCAGAACCGCTCGTACTGCTTCATTCGGTTGTGCTTCGATGGCTGAGATCAGCTTTTCATAGCTCTCCCTTTCATACTCAGAAAACACCCGCTGAAAGATTTAAAAAAAAATCAGGTATGATAAATGAATTTGTCATGGCAGGAAAGCACGCGGCAACTGCAGAAAGAAATGAGTAAACAGATACAGATCACAGCATTTTTTGGGTAAGCGTCTCGGTTGCATATAATATCAAGGCTTCATTGCATCTTTTTGTAAAAAGTCGAACATTCAAAATCAAGGATTGAAGGCTGAAACTTGGCTGGATTATACCATCTTAAGAAAAAAAAGACATATTTTTCAACATTGAACGACAAAATGGAAAACAAAAAACCATTTTATGTATAAAAAATATTTTAAAAGAAAACAAAAATAATGGGGGAACACCTGGAGATGAAGTTCGTTATATAGATCCTTCACTTTGGCAACACAAGCTGGATCTGATTTCCCATAATTTTCCTGCAATCATGCCATTCACAGAATAAGACGTCATGCTTAACTATGCAAAGATACAGTTTAGTACTGCGCGGGGGCCTTACAAACAAGACTCCTTTTTGTTTCTCATCAGCGCGCTCAAGTGCTTGAACAAATAGCCAAGAACACTTGAAATCTTCAATGTCACTTCCTATCTGTGGTAAGATTGCTTGGGGATCAAGTCCAAAGAACATTTGATAGTGTACTATGAAACTTGTGATAGTACTGCAGGAGTGTACTTACCTTGCCAATAATTTCTGGTTCACCAAAACAGTCCAGATAATCATCCTGGAAAGAAAACCTTACTAGCGATACTGATATGAATGAAAACAGAAAAACCAAGAAGAGAAGCATTCAAGTGGAAAAGAGAACGAAACATCAAGATGATCTTACCTGGCTTTGAAAGTAAACACCCATCTCAACTAGGATATGCTTCACTTGAGCATAATTGTCCAAACTCTCATCAAACAACAGCAGTGCGCATGCAACCTTGTAAGGTTGAAAAAGTTTTGCTTGTGAATACCAAACAAAAACAACCACAAAACTCAACCTCACTACGACATGTGCACAAGCATTTTTCCACAAGATGAATTACAAGAAGTTGTTTCTAGGACTATCAAGTTTCATTCTGAGCTATATGTACCCCTGTTTGTGAGGAACCATGCTCATGAGTCATGAGTCATGGTACAGCGAAAGCTGATCATTTGAATTAGATTTCTAAGTTTACTTTGATTAGCCACATATTGGAACAGTGTAAGTATTCATGAAAAGTATAAAACATTTCCCCAAGGGGCAGCAAAAGCGGAAACATTTTCTCAGTTTGAAGAAATCGACGAGCAACAGCCTGAATTGATGCTATAAAAGTTTCAAAATATTATATGGGAGTCATTCATTTTTACCGGCAAATAAAATGAATAGTAAGCTGTCTTATATTCCACAATGCGCCTATATCTGCATAAAATTCAAAAATGATTATTATCAAGCAAGAAGAGTAAAAATGAAACTGACAAACAACTGCCTTCTAGGGCACTAAGCAAGCAGTATGTCAGTATGACACCATGGAGAAATTCGTAATTCAGTGGCATACACATGTACATTATACTTGTTCAGATCTTTCCTTCCTTCATTTGTTGTAATTTGATCTAATAACTGGCCTGAAGTTGTCTGAATTTCAACCTAGGGAGGAAGCAACAAAATTATGCTTCAGTAATGAAATTGGTTCTCAAATAAGAGAAATCCTAAGAATGTAAAACTACCTCATTGAATAAATCTAGGAGATCAACATAGTAACTTTTTCCACGAAAATAGCGCCTAAAGATCCTTGAAATTTGGCTGCGAAGGACGAGTCCATCATTTATAGCTATGAGGCCGACCTGCTCAAGGTAGAAAATATGAGCTAAATCACCATTTAACCAAGACAAGGAAAGGACTCAAATTGTAAACAGCATTAATCTACATATCTATATCATTCCTTGCATCTTATGCTAGTTACTAGATAATCAAGCTAATACCATGATCAAACCTATCCCTAGTGTGGAGCTGCCCCTTGCTATTTAGCCAACAGTAGCATCTGAGAACAATATTATCATCCGTTATTATTTTTACCTTTTCCTTTGTTTAGTTGGAGTACAATCATAACATTTTAACAACACTCGAGAATCTACAGTAACACAAGGACATTTCTATGTGGACAAGTTAATCCTACTTGACAAACCTTGGGAAGCCTAAACCAACAGGGTTTTCCTCGTCGAGTTTGTGAGTTATCCATTATATCATCAAGAACCAGAAAATAGGCCTGAAGCTGCAGGTTACTCAAAGAACAAAAAAGTTTAGAAAATATTTTGCTAATATTGTTGTTTCATAATCCCAGGTCACTAAATCATACAAGTATCATGTACCCATTCGATGCCCCAACCAAGGATGCATGCAAGAAACAATTCCTCCTCGCTCGGTTCTGTTGCGCTAGCAGCTTTCAGTATTTTGTAGCTCTCAACAACAGCCAAGCCACGGTTCAATTTTCCTGTACAAGAGCAGAGATCTTAAATGACTAAATCACTTGCCAACCATATCGCAATGTGCCATTGTTTGGTTTGGTCGCATTGTTTCTGAATAGCATGTTTTTCTCACCACCAAGCACGTTGTAGTCCAGCATCTGTTCAGAGATAAGGTTCAGTGATTTTTTTTTTCAGCTAAACATTGACAAATTGCATTTAATACCCAAAAAAAAAAACAATGAAGAAGTTGCAACTTGCAGATCGTACCAAAGCTAAAGAGACAAAAAACATCAAATATTTCATGTATTGTAGTTTATCTAATTAAGGACAGTGCCCCCCAAAAAAAAAGAAAAAAAAACTTGAGGAGTTACGAGTTGCACTGACGCTCTCGAGCCATTGGATGGCGTCGTCGTTGAAGTCGAAGGAGGGGTCCTTGAGAAGCTCTGCCTTGAGTGTGCCGTACACCCGCCGGAACGTCGCGGCCGCTGTCTCCGCCGCCGGTCCGCTCGCCCCCGCACCCGCGGCGGCCATAGACCCCAGACCCCCACTCCGCCGCGCCGACCCGCGTCCGCGTGCGGCAGGCAGAGCAGACGAGCGGCGAAGGACCGAGGAGCAGCGTGCGGCCCAGCCGTCCCGATGGCGACGACGAGACGGGGCAGGCGGCTTCCGTTGCGTTGCGTCCGGTGTGCGTGCGTGGCGCGCGCGCGCGCGGCCCAATCGATCTCGCGCGGTGGGGGTCGTGACGTATACGTCGTGTCGCGTTGCGTCGAGAAATTTGCTGCGGTTTCTCCGATTCGTCACGCCGTGCGCGCGCCAACGTGCCGTGCGTGCGTGCGTGGGTGGACTGGAGCGAGCGACACCGGCGGCCGCGCTCTCGTGGGGTCGTCGACGACGTCGTTGGCGGCGTCGTCGTTCTCGACGCCTCGCGATCAGACGGCGACGTGGTCTGTCCCCGCCTGAAAGGACTGTCTGTCTCGACCCCGGCGGGAAAAATCGCCCGCGTCTCCACCACTACTTTCCCTGCGCGGGATCCAGAGGCGGTGAAGGACCGCAAGGATTTCAGACTTCAGAACTATACCTGCACTGCACTACCATCAGAGTTACGGCGTTTCAGCGTGCGTATGTTTCAATCTTCAGATGAAAATGGGAAGCAGATTCAGCCAAAGACCATGAATTTGATGGGTAATCACAATAGATCAGCAGGATGAAATTGTCTGTTCTGGAGTGTGGCTTAGGCAATTCAATTCAGAGTTTCAGAGTTCTGACTATTCAAGCAATTCTGACTCGTATACAAAAGTAGTACCTCTCTAGCCCTGGGAAGTGGCAAAAGGACTTAAAAAAGGAGGATAAATAGAGGTAAAAATGCAATTGCACTCTTGCAGTAAGGTTGGCCTGGTTAAGGCCCTGTTTCTTTTAGCTTGGGATTATTATAATCTAGATTATTGAGTCAGATTACTATAATCTAGATTGTTATAATCTGTAGTAGAATAAGTGGTTAGTTGTTTCTTTCCTAGATTATTAGAGCCTAGATTATTGGGTTTGCAAGTCTAAAGAGGGAGTGGGGTGGCATGATGGGTAATTTTTCACCCAATAATCTAGAAAAAGCTCACCTAAATGAGCTTATCAGATTATAATAAGCTATCTTTTAGCTTACTCCTAATAATCTGGATTATAATAATCCTAAGCTAAAAGAAACAGGGCCTAAGTTTGCTCATCCGAGGTGAAGTGCGATGAGTACCGCTGCGCCAATCCGCAGAAGCCAAGCGTTCCTCCCGTATGGATCATCACCACTTTGGTTCTACTGTCTCCAACACATAGATCCACAGCTTGCTCCCAACCAGCTAAGGTGTACATTGGATCCAACAGGATACCAGTTTGCTGCGCAATCTGGCGGCATAATGCAATTTCACCGTTCAGCACCTTGCCAAATCTGAACAAAAAAAAAAAGGCCCCAAGAAAAATCAGTATTCGAACGCAAATTCTAAAGATTCTAATAGCAAGAACTAAAGGCATGAGAAGGACATAATTATTCACCAAAACAAATAATAATCAGAACATCAAGTCCACTTCAACCGCCGACTATAATATTACCAAGAAAATTACTAGATACTAATAAGGAAACTAGTACTTAGTAAATGAACACCCTCAAATTACAAAATCATGAATACGTCCAGAATGTTCTGTAATTTATAGTGACATGCCTTGAAAATGACCCAAGACAACATTGTATTGCAGAAACACTTGAGAAAGCAGCATGTATTGAATAAAATGAATGCTCAGTAAAATGCAGCATATTAAATTAATTGATTGAAGCATACCGTCTTGGTGAAAATCGTTCCACCCATTCAACTAAACTGTCACCAATATCATTTTCTCCCACCATTTCATGGTAGTTGTTATGGCAAAGCTTCTTAAAGTCAGATATTAAGGACTTCTCTCGTTCTTTATATCTTTCGAGTGTGTCAGCAAGCATGACAGCAGTTACTCTCCAATGCAATCTGCAAGGATCGTGAGAAAAACTGTGATCTCTAGCAAAGATGGATGGAGAAAGCAACAACATAGACATGGAAATACTAGGTGATGAACATTTTGATTGACACGATTTTTAATTAGTATTGCTTGACCAAGTTAAAATGCACCACATTTGTCATCAGAGACATTAATTTATCCCAATTTTTCTTTGATAGATCAAGTGCAAGAACTGTTCTCATTGTTGTGCTTTAGATATTCCAAAAGTATCTCCAACAACAAAGCCTTTATATAAAAGAAATGGAAAATCATGATACCTGTAATACCATTAGAAACTCTCAAAAGTTCAAAGTGTACAAAAGCTGTAATGATAACTCTCAATTTATTCTGGCAGCATAATATGCAAGTAGTATTAACAAACGCACCCTAGACATACCGCTCCAAGAGCTAACCCCACAGCTGTTGTGCCTGTCCCAGCATCTACCACGACATGAACATTCTCATGTTTATGAAATGACGACAGATTGTAAAGGTACTCCACTAGCCGAATAACACCTGAAGGTACAACAAAGCCATGTGAAATATGCAAGATTCCCTTTTCTTTGGGGCCCAAGTTAAAGGTTTCAGATTAACAAGTGAATAAGAAAACAACATACTGTGAAAGCAAAATTGACTGCCCTGATCCTAATACTCAAAGTGAAAATTTTCAACCTATAAGCAAATATAGCAATACAAGGACACATGCATTCTAAGTTATGGGTATTAGATTATTCTGTTGTCGAAAATTTATTTTTACTGATGAACGGAACTAAAATCAGGAGTTCAGGGCAAAAACAGTCCATTACTTACCTAGCAATGCTTGGACGTCACCAGCCCCTTCCTTAATAATAACTACTCTTCTCGAACCAATTTCACAACCATTATCTTCATCTAAAACAAAATCCTCTTTGCTAATATCATCAGCCCACAACACTGTACCACCTGTGCCTGCAACTTTTCTGGCGTGATTGTAAAGCATTTCATCTCTGTGTGCGTACACTGACCGAGAGGCATAAGCCACATTGCCAAACATCAAAGAGATAAGATTGTAGCCTGTCGGGATATCTGGCTGTTCACCTCTCAGCAATATGTGTGGCCTCATTCCCCACTCAGCACAGTGGACCGCTAATGCAGTAAATGAAAAAAAAAAAGTGAATGCTATGAGCAAAGCAACATTTTCGTTGGACTCAACCGAATTCAAGAAAGAAAAGCAGCACATTCACTATATCAGCGCGCTAATCAAGGGACAAATCTGCATGACCTAGAGAGCAATTTTGCAGGGATGCATTGGGATCGTTTACCAAGGCTTATAAGGTCATAGCTCATGTAAAGAATGAACTGGAAATTACACACAGATTCAAGTGGAATGAAGAAAAACAAAATGGGTAATCCATATCTCACCAGTGGCCGCAGCATGGGCGCTCTGGCAACCCCCACAAGTCACCTGCAATCCGAAGTCCAGAACAGTGAAGATACCATCAGATTTGAAAAACAAGATGTGATCAAGGCTGGGTGAAGGGGAATGCAACGGTGAGCACGGACAACGTCAGTAGCGCCGCGGCGGCGCAGGAGCGGCAGGAGGGCGTCGAGCTTGCGGGCCTTGTTGCCATTGGCGAGCGGGTGGAGGAGATCGTCGCGCACCACCTCGAACCTTGGGCGGCCCTCCTCTTCCCCCTTGCCTCCGTTGCGCTTAGGCGCGGTGGTGAGGTTGGAGAACGCGAAGTGGTGAGGAGGGGACGGCGGTGAGTGGGAGGGGAGGACGGAGATGGTGTGGACTTGGGTGGCCGGAGAAGGAAGCATCCACTCCGTGGCGGAGAGAAGATTTGCGACCGTCCTGCCGCCGCCGGCGAGCGCCGGCGATGGCCGCATGAGGAGATGGGCAGATGGCGGCCGGGGACGGGTCACGTAAAGTCAAAGTACGCCTTCATGAAGCGTTGGCGGAGAACATGGAGTGTTGGTACGTGAGACATTACGGTCCTGATTGGGTGTTGTTCGGAGTAGCAACTACTAATTGATAACCAGTTTACGAGAATTTGGAGAAGCTAAAAAATAACTCTTAGTTTCTTTTTTAAAAAAATTCTGTAAATATATTTCTCAAGATCTGGATGAAGGTTTTGATTATAAGAAGCTCGCTAAATATGTCTGATATATTGGTATCTCAGGTCTCACGATACACCATATTTTTTTTCTTTTCGGTGAGTGGATAAACTAGAAAATTTGGAAACCATTCTCTTAGACATACAACTACAAGTCTACAAACCATGGAGCTAACTAGGGATGAAAACGGTTGGAAAAACCCTATACCGTTTTCATTTTCTTTTTTTTTCTTGAAAACGAAATCGGAACGGTAGACCCGGAAATGGTAACGATATCGGTAATATTGGTATATCGGAAACGGGATCATCGGAACGGAATATACCGATATTGGTCGAAACTCGAAAGTCAAAAATTCATGTCGAAATTAGCGGAGTGTGGCATAGCACACATTTAACTATGCACGTAGATATTTTTTAACTTTATTCTTGCATCATCACACTCCACATAACACCGTTATATGATAATTAATGATATGATAATAAGTTTGACAAACAATATAAACAAAGTTCAACAATGCTTCAACATCGATAAGTTGAGAAGACCAAAGTTCAGCAAAATCCACATGCAACGTCATAGGGTTAACAATATTTTCCCTAGTCACTTCCACTTTTTTATAGGCTGCAAGCCTACCAAGCTTTCTTCATTCATAGGCTTCCGATGGGTTGGGCTGGCTGAGCCGCTGGGGAACTTTCGGATTCTTTTCGGAATTTTAACGGAAATTACCATACAAATATGGTTACCGATAAAACGGTCGGAAAAAGCCCGTCCCATTTCCGCTACCATTTCCAGAAGATATTACCGTTTCCATTTCCGCCACCGTCGGTTACTGAAACCGACTAAAACGGTTGGTGCAAACTGGAAACGGTAGCCGGAAGTTTCCATACTGTTTTCACCCCTAGAGCTAACCCATAACTTCTACAGCAATACCAACAGTAAATAGTCTCATTATACTTTGGTCCTAACATGCACTACATTTCACGACAATATTTGATTTGCCATTAAGACCTTTTTTTCTAAAGATCTATAGGGAATAATTCCAAATTAAGATCAATATAACCTATGCAAATCGAACGTTAACGTGCATACCAAATGAACTTTGTTAGGACTTAGGGTACGTTTGAATCTCCAACTTAATTTAGCTTTTCATTAGCACGCAAAGTGAGATAAATTATTAGCACATAAATAATTGAGTATTAGTTATTACAATTTAAAAAATATGTTTATTTGATTTTTAAAGATATATATATATATATATATATATATATATATATATATATATATATATATATATATATATATATAAAGTTCTTTTTTGAAAAAAAGTATAATTCAGCAATTTGAAAAATGTGTTAATGAAAAAGAAGGAAGTTATAGTTTAGAATTGAAGAAAAGAATGCAGACTTAGGAGACAATCATCGTCAACAATTTATTTCAGTGAGATGATGCCATGATGACATCATGCATGTGACATACATATGCTGCCATGCAAGTGAATACTAACATGGCAATAGGCAAACTTACAATTTCAATGACAAGTTGTAAGCGCAAGGAACTGACATTCCGGCTCCAGCTACTACTACATGCTAGAAAAATGAGTGGTAGAACAAACTGCCAGTCGGAGACGACAACAAGGGAGGTGGACATGACCATATAACTGATTGGAAAAGGCTATACGTCCTAACTTTTTCTTAAATCAAATGGTTGAGATGATTGTTAGTAAAAGTTTAGTAAGAAAAATTTAGTACGGTAGCATTGCTCTAATTGATTGGCATATCTTGATCTTTGATGGCACTATGGCAATCACCTTACAGCCAAGTGAAAGGTGCCAACTAATTGAGATGGAGAGATTTGTCTAAGAAATGAAAATGAATTACTCCCTCTGTCCAAAAAGTCCCATCCAACCAAAATCTCTTGTATTTTGGGACGGAGAGAGTACTTGGCTAAAACATGCATGCTAAGGCCATGTTTAGTTCCCAAAAACTTTTCGTAAAAACATCACATCGAATCTTTAGACACATGTATAGAGCATTAAATATAGATAAAAAGAAAAAACTAATTGCACAATTTGCATGTAAATCGCGAGACAAATCTTTTGAGCCTAATTAGTCTATGATTAGCCATAAGTGCTACAGTAATCCACATGTGCAAATGACGGCTTAATTAGGCTCAAAAGATTTGCCTCGCGGTTTCTAGGTGAGTTGAAATTAGTTTTTCATTCGTGTTTGAAAACCCCTTCCGACATCTGGTCAAACGTCCGATGTGACACCCAAAAATTTTCATTTCACCAACTAAACATACCCTAATTATACAATAAAATCATCTTAGGCCTTCCTTAGAGTGGAGGAAGCTAGAAATTAATAGAGGAATTGAACTAAATCCTGTTAACTCCTCTAAAATCCCTGATTATTTTTTTTAGGAAACCCCGTTAGTTTTAAGTCCTAACGAATAAAATTAAATTAGCTGGTCACATCGAGCATTCATATGCTCCTCCTTGCATGATAAACCAACAAAACATTATGCGCCTGAGGTGATTGACACATCCACAAAGTTAAGATGTGGCGCATTATTCTTCAGTAGTGCAAATTGAGAATATATAAAGGCAAAATCCCTATCAAGTATCAAACTGTATTGGAGAAAAAGAAAGCAGAATAATTATATTTGACTGAAAGCAGTAGGAAAATACATAAGTATTACTAAGGTATTCCCTGGGTTAATGGTTACAAATATTTTTTTTACATAAAGGAGAAGAAATTTAAGGATACTGACACCAAAAGCACGCACCGAAAAATATTTTCGTGGAGATTTTGGATGGATACCTAAAAAATGCAGTTATGTACTGTAGCCTATTGCATCTTTTTTCATTTTTTAAGGGTAATACTAGCCTATTGCATCCTGGAAAGGTACGGTACATTTTGTTCCTTGTACATCTGTAGATTCGTCAGTGTGCCTTTTTGGTTTTTCTTTGTCTACCCGATCGAGAGGAGTCTTTCAGTGTCTAGGTGGTGTCCAATTTTGCCTTATTATCATGGGACAAAAATTAGTGGTCCTAAACTTCATACCAAGAACTAGTTTTTCTTGGTTCGTCCATTACGAACAGATGTTGTCGTTAATAAAAGAGCTATTTCAAGTCGTCCTATCAAAGAATTTTCATATATATATACTCGATAATGGTCTTCCAAACTATCAGTGGTGGGCAATTGTTTGGAGCTATATATAAGAAAAGAGTCATACATATGCCACTGGATGTGTCTATACGATTGCAAGTAATCTGAGAAATCCCGTTGACGAAAACAATATGCAGTTGGCATGAAAACAATATGTTTGTACCCTTATACACATCTCTCACAGGTTCAATCATGCATTAATTTACTGTAGCATTTCAATCTAAATTATTGATCATGAATCAAATGGTCGGGCGTGCGCCTAATTATACACTTTTATCATTGTCCTCTTTTGGTTAGCGACACGGCAAATGATCCATATTCCTTTTGTGCTACTCAACCTCTGCTAGACTACCGATCCGGATGAACCGTAGAGAATGCAAGTATACTACTGTTACCTCCGTTTTTTTAATATATAACTCAATTTTGTTTAAAAAATGCCAACAAAATGTCAATTGCGTTATATATTAAAAACATGTGATGTGAACCAAACCATTCCTTATATAGACAATTGTATTCTTAGCCATGTTAGTAACTCTAATGGTGATTTATCTTTATTTTCCCAACTTTGTAATCTTATCCTATTTTTTTTACTAAAGCTTATGCTTGCCCGGTTGCCCCTATTCTGTTAGGATGGCTTTAACAATGCGAAAAATTCATGCTAAAATAGGAGCAAAATTCATATCAATAGGCTTGATATCAAATCATGGACAAAATTACAAATCCATCGTGAAAGTAGGGACAAATTGCAAGGGCAATACATGTCTTTACACCATTATATTAAGTCCTCTAAGCGAAACATCGGCAACACAAGATTCAGTTAAGAAACAAGGATAAAATCACAAAGTATAAAAGAGGCAAGAACACATTTTTCCGTTTCTTTGTAAATCTGATGCGGTCTCAGCCGAGGTTGGTACGGTAGATGCACGGGCGAAGGGACCATGCGTGTGTCTCACCTGATCGACTAGCCGAGGTCGGCAGTACAGCAACCCATGCCTGATGGAACAGCTGATGTTCTCGCCTCACCTAACAAAACTTTAGACTTCAGTTGAGCTTAAGTCTGAAGTCTGAACTCGAGTCGGAATAATTAATCGCTGCTGTCCTGGCCTAGATAGCAGAGTTCCTTTCACAACCTTGGTCGTTGTCTGTTTGATATGAGTCAGTTTTTGGTCACGTAGTAACCTTTACGTTGCAAGAACAACCAACCCGATCGATCGACAACAACGCGAGCTAGGCAGAGAAGATGAAACACCAAAAGGGAATCAGCGTGCAATCAAAGTTACTTTTGACAGATATCTATTCATCTTGACCGCAAAGCAACCATTACCATACATGTACCAATCGACCACCCGAAAACAACAGCTGAGAAAAATTTCCTTGATCATCTTTTATTATATTATCTGTCATTCGGAGATCGAGATGATGCCTATGCTAGCTAATCACCAGCTATAGACATAAGAAATTTTCAGTGACACTGCCAATTAATAATGCAACATCACGCAAGCATCAGCACCGCATCATTGTTAATTCAGAGGAAATCTACTTATAGATCTCCGACTGGTGGTACAAACAACTTTTGTTGGGACAAATAAAATAGGTTGGGACAAATAAAATAGAGAGGCCACGTCCTACTCTTACCAACCATTGTAGTTGGCGGCATTAATTAGACGATCTGTAGGTATCGATCATATTTCCCTTCGAGGCGAGAACTACAAAAGATCATATATGTCTCAATCATCGAACAATGCACTCTACAGAATATCTTTACCAAACTTAATTAAGAAGAGATAACGAAAAAATAAATGAAAAGGTTGGCGAAAATATGATATAACGCACACATGCACACGAAGGAAAAGAAAGAGTTGATTAATATGGTGACCCCAAGCGCTTTACATGCATGCGGTCTGATAAAATACCAGTAGTACATTTCATTCAATTCGCAATTGTTAATTGGATCATATCGGTTAGTTGAACTATTTACTCTCTCCATCCACAAATATAAGCGTTCCTATCTTTTTAAAATACAGATTAAGATAAAAACAAACGAAAGTTATTCTTTGTTTCTATTTATGATAATACCCCTCATTTTACAGGCCAATTATGTTTTGGGTGTGTGCATATGGGTTAGCAGCTAATGAAAAGCACAACAGCAAAAATATAGGAATGCTTATATATTTGTGTATAGAATTTAAAAAGGTAGAAATGCTATTATTTGTGGATGGAGAGATGACATAACCAAATTGAATTAAGATAAATGAAATACCATAATTACTTTTTGAGTAAATTGTACTAACGGTAAAAACCACTACTTGAAAAACCATCTATCACTACAGGAAAATTTATGGCGAGAGTACATCTCTCAACATAATCCAACATATGAAAATTTGACTAATTTAAACCAAAAGAATCTATCGGCGGATGTATAGAAAATATGAAAATTTAAAGCCCTTAAAACTTATATGTTGAAAATTTATATTGCAACAAACTTAATACAAGGAACTATAATTGTGCCAACAACAATTACATACTGTGAGGTGCTCAAAATTATTAATGCAACGATAATGTAGCATGGACGAAGAGATTACGCCAATTTCCACGAAAATAAAAATTATGGCAATAAAATTGCCATGTCGCAATGTTAGTTTTCCACGTCACAATGTGGCTATAGCCCACTATATATTGCAACAAAAAATAAACTATAACAACAATGGTACATTTTTTTAATATAATTTATCAATTGCACGAAAAGTTAGATCATGGTAATAGAATAATACATTTACTACAAATAATATTTTGTTGCAATATTTTCATGGTGATAGAAAAATTTCTTGTAGTGTAAGTTGATAAGTGGATATGATCTAGTATATAAACTTAGGAATTAAACATTCAAGTGCAACAACTGGCCTGCAACAACTTGGCCAGTAGGTGTACAAGAACGACGATTTAGAATTTGGTGCAACAACTTGGCTACGTATGCTGTTTTAGTTATTGAGTGCTCCACAAACTTTTTCATGATGCCAATATACCATTACATAGCAATATTAAGGATATTACCTTACAATACTTGATTTAATCTATAGGACCTTACAATCCTTGTTTTAATCTATAGGAATCACACTATTTATCCAATTTGCACCATCGGTTTGGATTTTTTTTATTTCACCTTCTCAAATCTTAACCGAAATACAATATTTTTTTACACAATAAAATTTAATTGACTTTTTCATTATTGAATGACAAAAATTATGTATGCTTATAGACATACACACAAGTATATTGATAAACTAAGTACTTAAAAACTAACGTGTAAAAAAATACTTGAAATAATAACGTTGTTGCAACATTTATTAAGTTATTGTATTAAAATCGTACTCACCTTACAAGATGTTATACTCCTACACTCATTTGTTAAGTTCTTTTTACTAGATTGCACCTATCTACCAAGTTATACGTGCATTAGCACACTCACTTCTAAAGTTCTTGTTCTAAATTCCACCCACATGCCAAGTCAATGTACGATGTATATAATTTAGTCTAATTTTTTAAATAACCAACACACATAATCTACTTTGTTTCACACCCTAAATATCTCCTGGGCTTAATTAATTGCACATAAATTAAAGGAAAGTCAATTTTAACCTTTTACATGTTCCAATATAAAAAGAACGGAATGGCCATCGCTATTTTAAAATTTTCAAATCAACAAAAAAATATTTTTCTACATTTTACGGCATTACGTACGAGTGACCATAAACATCTCCTGGACTTAATTCCACATGAACTAAAGGAAAGTCGATTATAGTAACATTATACATATTCCATCATAAAAACAAGGGTTAATTGGATCCATATCGTTATAAATTTATTAGTTTTAAAAATTACCATTACAATTCAATGTGTATTTGAGATATACCACTACTTACTCTTTTAGCCTATTTTATAAAATTTATTAATCAAATTGTCCATGTCTTCTTCCTCCCTCTCTCCTCTTCTCTCTTCAACCGTATCCAATCCCTCTAGCCCATGGATCCACGGCATAGATGATAGAGCGAGCCTCCTCACATGCAGCCATGGTGTTAGGGTCGGACATCCGGCGAGAAGGAGGTTGGCGTCCATGAGGATGAGCAGGGTAGAGCGCCAAATGCCGCGCTAGCCAGTTGAGAGCGTGACATTCTTGACAGGGAGGTGGGAGACAACCATACGGAGGATGTGTCCATGGTTGCCGCCACCGATTGGGGAGGTTTTGGAGATTTGGGGTTTTGGGTGCTTGGCTTTCCGTGACGAGTACCGAGTGAATAATGCATGCTCGCCTCTATAGTCATGAGTGTTGCGCTGGCCTCGCTGCTGACTACCGCGTCACTACGCTTGAGCTCCGACATGTTCTATGCTGCCGAGCTCAAGCGCCGCTGCCATCCGCACCGTCATTGGAAGAGGAGTGCAGAGCGCCACCGCCGCCACGCTCGATCGTGGGAGGAAGAAGAGTGCAGCGGATGAAGGTAGCAGATAAGGGATAATTTGGTCCAAGAAAAATATAAAAAAATACAGTGAAGGGATATATAGTGACATATCTCCGATTTCAACATATTTATAATGACATTGTTTCAATTAGGTGGATAGTAATGGTATATTTTTAAACCGTAAAATTTAACCCAAACAACAATGATGGGACGGTCATCATCATTTTTTTTTTCAAATCAAGATGTGCCCTCTTATTTGTTTTTGTACAAGTGACCATAATTGCACACGAATTAAAAGACATTCGACCTTTAGCACCGCACAGATTCCACCATAAAAAAACAGAAGGGAATGATCATAATCGTTTTATTTTATTTTTTCCGAATCTACACAGGAGAACATCATATCCCTTCTGTTTCTGTACGAGTGGCCGTGACCATCTCGCGCACATGAATTAAAGGGCAATCGACTTTAAACACTTTAAATTCCACCAGTAGTTAAGAAACTGCCGCCCCCCACCATACCTCCAGAAAATATTTTCTACAACACTAGGTACTATTACAATATACGAGCAATGCTACACGTAAATTTTTTTTACTAAACTTTTACTAACAATCATCTCAACCGTTTGATTTAAGTAGATGGAAGTTACAAAAAAAATCTAGATGCACTCATAATATGACACATTAGTGTTATTAGTAAGAAAAAGTTAGTACGTATAGCCTTTTCCACAATATACCTAGGTGTAGGTGTATATATGCGGTTTAAATATTATATAAATTTTTTTATAAACTTTGATAAGATAGATTATGATAATATAAGACACCACACAAAGATACATGTCTAAATTTGATCTATTACATTAAGAAGAAAATAACAAATTTTATTTACGTTGTACAATGTACTATGCATTTTCTGATTTTTACCCTCAAGTCAAAAGTCGAATTTTGCCTGACATGTTTCTTTACATACTTATATAATCCAATTAATATAACTATTTTTTAAATTTTTTTATAAACGCTTAATTCACAAGCAAATAACGGGTGCCAATTTGTGTGGTTGTATCTAGGCCCTTGTTCCACTGTACGTCTGTACCAGTGTATCACTGCATGCGGAGGGACTCAGAGGCTGTGTTTAGTTCCATGTCAGAATTGAAAATTTAAAGAAATTGGAACGATGTGACGGAAAAGTTGAAAGTTTATGTGTGTAGAAAAATTCGATGTGACGGAAAAGTTAAAAGTTTAAAGAAAAAAGTTGAAATCTAAAGAGGGCCAGAGCACACAGGCAAACTCAGGCCTTTGTTTAGTTCCAAGAGAATTTTGCTCAAAATCGTCCCATCGAATCTTTGGACACATTCATAGAAATTAAATATAGATAAAAAAACTAATTGCACAATTTGCATGGAAATTGCGAGACGAATTTTTTGAGCCTAATTAGTCCATAATTAGCTATAAGTGCTACAATAACCCACATGTACTAATGACGGATCAATTAGTCTTAATAAATTCGTTTCACGGTTTCCAGACGAGTTATGAAATTAATTTTTTCATTCGTGTCTGAAAATCCCTTCTTATATCTGGACAAACGTTTGATATAACACCCTATAATCCTAAAATTTTCTTTTTCGCGAACTAAACATCCCCTCACAGCACAGGCAACCGATGGATCGGAGAGGGCATATGGTGCCGATTTATTTATTCGCTTTTGATATCCATCACGCAGCCGCTCCGGTTGCGTCTTTGTCGGCCACTCACCACGAGAGCGCGCGAAGAGACCCGACAAATTTATAAAACGGAGACGGGCAGAGATCGAGTAGCCTCTCACTTAACCAGAGATTCAGAGGAGCAGCAGCTAGGTAGCTAGCTGAGAGAAACAGTAACTCTTGCCAATGGCGTCGACTGCAGGTAGAGGAGAGGATGATGAGAGGGAGAAGAAGAAGAAGGAAGGGAGCGGCAACGACGGCGACGCCGGGAAGCTGCCGTTCCTGGGGATGTTCAGGTACGCCGACGGCGTCGACAAGGCGCTGATGGCGGTCGGCACGGTGGCGGCGATGGCGAACGGCATGTCGGAGCCGCTCATGACCGTCGTCTTCTCCGCGGTCATCGACTGCTTCGGCGGCGACGACGTCAGTACCGTTCTCCACCGGGTCAGCAAGGTATTGTCACACGTACTGTGGCTGAGTTTGTTTGTGGTGGTTTCTAACCACGACTCTCTCGTTCGTGCGGTTACGCTTCTAAACTGTTAAATGATATATATTTTTTTAAAAAAATTATATGTAGAAGTTGTTTTGAAAATCATCTTAATCTATTTTTAAAAACTTTTAGCTAATACTTAATTAATAATATGCTAATCTACCACTTTATTTTTTGCATGGGATTAATTCCCGACCCACACCGAGCAACACAGCCTATATATATACGTACCCGCGGCCTGCCTGTTGTGGCAACTCTGATCGATCGGGCGGCAGTCAGCCAGGCACCGGGTGGAGTATAATTTTTACCGGTCAAATTATTTGAAAATGGTAACTGACAGAAACGAAAACGGTAAAATATGGAACGAAAACGACTGTTGTTTTATCAACTGTTTTTATATTTAAGTGGAAATTATAGTTTTATAATATAGTAATCACCATATTTCTAAGAATAAATTCACAAAACTATAAGTAGTTTTGCTAAATTATCATAAAACTTCATATTTAACATGATGTATCGTAAAATCACTCACTTATCACTAAATTTATCACAGAACTACATATTTAAAACATATTTAAAGTATTGTATCACAAAACTACAGGTTTAATATAAATTTAATCATAAATTTCGGACATTTATAACTCAACATAGTATTAGTGTTAAGGATTTAAACCCCAAAAATCTGTAGTTTTGTGATAATTCTATTATTAAATTGATACTTAGCCTTAAACTTATAATTTTGTGATAAATTTATTGTTAAATTTATAGTTTTGTTATACATCACTTTAAATCTATATCTTGTGATAATTTAGTCAAAATATCTGTAGTTTTATGAATTTTACTCTATTTCTAAATATCCAATATTTGTGATACATGTCTCTGTTTGACCTATAGTTTAACTTCTCAACCAAATAGCTATTTTGAGTACATTAATAAATATAAGAGAGATTCTAATTTATATAGTGCAAGTTTGAATTTCCGTGATCACAACATATAGCCATGTTAAATCAAATATGTGATTCTGTAGCTCAATGATTCCTGCATTAAGTACTGATTTCCAATTGATTTTCTGATATTTTTAATACCGTTTCGATTTCCATTTTTCAAAAATAAAATAAAATATAGCCACAGAAATGATTAAAGTTTCTTTTCCGACCTTTTTTTTTTCTAAATGGAACATTAGCGCGAGACCACCGGACGAGATGCTCTCGTACGCGTAGCGGAGTATGTTGTCTAAATCGCGTTTAATTTACTGTAGGTGTAATCAACTACGCTTCGTTTGGCTCACCTTAATTACCTCACCCTGATGCAACTGCAGTTTCAGATGTCCGGTCACGATCTAGGCGTCTCTAGTGGAGTCAATCCGTTGCACTAGATTACGTTAGTGGTCCGCGCTTGCTTGGTACTCCCTTCGTTTCACAATGTAAGTCATTTTAGTATTTTTCACATTGATATTAATGTTAATGAATCTAGATAGATATATATGTTTAGATTCATTAACATTATTATGAATGTGGAAAATGTTACAATGACTTACATTGTGAAACGGAGAAAGTAGTAGTAGTTACCTAGACGCGCGGCAAGTGGGTGGAATCATGGAACAATCGTGATGGGCCCACGCTTGTTTCATATTGTCGTGGTTTTTAATAATCTTGTTTAATGCCACTCCTTAGGTATGTTTAGCGTAGGTGTTTGACAAATATTATCTTAAAAAAGTGTTTGGCAAATTAATTTCATTTATTCTGAGAGAAAAATAGTTTTACTTATTTTTTTTAAATGAACCACACTAGACAACGTGAAATTTCTTCTGACAAAATAGAATAAAATACAAGACTACAGAACCGGAGGCTATAATCATGATAAAAAAATAGGATACTACACCACATGCCGACAATGCGGGAAGGAGCGTAGCACCAAGCAAACCACTGGTATGAATTTATAGTTGATCCACGTATGCACATCCCATTGAATGGGACCTCCCAAAGCATTACCTCCATGGAGACCATTAGGGATAAAACGTTTGGAAATGGTAGCATTATTTATTATTTTTAGAGAAACGACATCAGTTCGTAGATTTATGAATTTAACTATTTAGTAGCGACTTTAATACAACACTGACATATTTTTTTTAAAAAAGTAAATTTTGTATATGGCTAGAAATAGAAATGGTAAAAAATAACATTATTTTGATATTTATTTTTATGGAAACGATATCGGTTCGGTTGGGAATTTCCGTACCATTTTCACCCATAGACATCATGACACCGAAGCATTGTAGCCTTTTCAAGAAATCTTAGATATGATTTTCACATAGAGGATCATGTTAGTGAAGGAGAGGAAGATTACTTGGCAATGCTCTCAAGGGGGATCGCAGCACCCAAAGCGTCGTCCTTTTTTTAGCTTAGGCTTTTTTGCATGGAGCCTACATGCTTTCCTATTGCCGTTGTGGCCTCACCATCCACCTAGCCAGCCACAACCATTCAAACCATTGCCAACACATGGCTAATGCGCAGCGACACCCCTCTACCCGACTCCTCGCGAATTGTTCTCGCTCTTGTTACCCGACCCATTTGTCTCACTCTCACCGTGGAGCTCCATATGGCTGAATCTAGAAGCAGATCGGCCACAATTTTTTTTTGTTTTGGGTAGGGGTGGGGGTGGGGGGCTCTATAAAGAAGGGGAGATCAGATCGGAAAAAACAAGATGGCGGGACAAGATGACTCGCCATCACCGTTCTCAAGATGCAACAGCCCTCCTCCCCTGCTGCCTAAGCCACTGGCACACCCCTCACCATGGTACTCCTTGCTACCATATCTAGAAGTAGACCTGCCATACAAAGAGAGAGCCAAGCCAGGTAGCAAAAGACAAACTGCAGCCACCATTTGACTCTATGTGGCCAAATCCAAGCACTTTATCTTGTCAACCTCTTCTCCACAACTAGCCACCAGCCTCATCATCGATCTAAAGGCATTTGTCTCCAGCCTTCATGCGGGTGGGCTTGCCCCACAGCCATCACCAACCTCCACACCTAGACCACGGTCGCCATCGTCATGCCTTGCATCCGCCGCTCCACCATGTGCATTGGCCTCCTGCCTCACCACTGCCCCCCGTCAGCCACCGACCACCTTGCCTGAATATGGACATCTAAAGTAGCAAAAAGAAAAGGTTTCATGGTATGTAATTGGGCCATGTAATCAACTAAATGGGACCATTGAATAAAATAAAAGAAACTATGCCAATCGTTGGGTACATACATAGTTCTTCCTAGTCTCCACTAAGGAAATACCCTATATCTAGCTACAGAGGCATGGATCTAGGCACTGCCATGACCACCGCTCGTCTCGAACACCTCACCGTGACCACTCTAGTGCACATGAGGGGGAGAAGAAAATAGTCCCACCTTTGTTATCTTGCAGCCGTCTGGACCTCTGATGAGTAGCTTAGGTGGTGCAAGGGAGGTGGGGGTGGTGGCAGCAATTGCTTGAGCTCCATCTGGCCTGGTCACCCTTGGAAGTGACACGGATAGGAGAATGCCTTGAAGATTTCAACCACTTTCATTTTAATTTGTGTTGCAAACGACAATACTATTAAGCTTTGAATATATTTGTTTTCAAAAAAATGATCTGAATATGTGAAATAATTAGGAGGTATATGACTAATCCTAACATATAAAACAAACTCCAACATCCACAATAATTTGCATGACACAATGACTACAAATCAGACATATATCATATCAAACTTGTATCAATTTACAATATTAATTTGGTCCACCGACCTAGTTGTGAGGTTTCATACTTTAGGATCGCATAACCTCATTTTATACACATCATTTAAATAGTTATCAAGAATTGAAAATGGGATGATAATTTATATTATGATTCGTATTTTGCCCTACAATAGAATTTTTTTTTTGAATGGAGCCTACAATAGATTATGATTTCATATTTCACCCTACAAAGTACAAACTTGTAATGCTGCATTCTATCAACAAATTTAGTCACATTTATATTTTTCTCCATATGTATATTGAGTTTAGCCTTACAAGTTTGTAAAGTCAAATATGACATGGTAATTTAGGTTAATTTTTTCTAACTATTTATTAAGGCATGAAATGACTTTCCCATGGTAACCTTAATATTGGAACGGGGAAAAAGATAGAATTCCAGTTTGTGCTTCTATATGACTTACTTTCACTCAATATCTCAAAATGTTTTCCCTATTATGATTTTTTTCCTTTTCTTTTACCCTCTAGCATTTTCTTTTACCCAGGTTGTTCTGTATTACATCTACTTGGGAGTGGGAACATCAATGGCTTCTTTTCTCCGTAAGAATGCTTAATCTCAAGCTATATGTTGGGGGCATGTAAAACACCACAATTAACATATCGCCTCATAGTACATCTTAACGATGTAGATGAGAGAAGGGTAAGAGAGGAAGGGCATATATATGCACAACTATATTATGAGCACAAAGTACAAACGAGTGACATTAGTTGTCATATTTTATGTCTCTTGCATATGCCTATATGTTGAATTTTAAGTTGTTTTTAGTTGAACTTCCAAAAGAAAAATACCCCTATCAACCATTGTACATGCCCTTAAACCATCAACTCCGTAGAAATTATTTAAGATCACTAGCAAGAGTAACATAGCGATCCACACACCAAGAGTATAAAAATGGTTTCTAAAGTTGTTGAATGTTTGGCTATTTTAATGTCATAGTTTTACTACTTGTTACCATTCCTGAACTTCATAGTCAGATCAGCAAAATGATATTAAGAGGTTTTGGTCTATTACTTCATGAGACAACAGATTAATTAATTACATTTGCCACAATTAGAAAGCAAATTTACCAGTAATTTTCTATTTACAAATTTTCTGGAACAATTGGACATGTTAACAATGCAACAAAATTTCTGTTTAGTTGGGTTGTACATTCACATATGACAGAATCTCATGAGTGCTCCATCTACCTATTCCAGAGGTGTCATGTTGGACAATGGCTGGAGAAAGGCAGTCGGCATGCATTCGATCCTTGTACCTCGAAGCGATTATCACACAAGACATTGCATTCTTTGATGTGGAGATGACAACTGGAGAAGCTGCTTCTAGAATATCTGCAGATACCGTACTGATCCAAGATGCCCTTGGTGAGAAGGTAACAAGACTAAAAAGTACACTAGACTAGTCTAAATGAAACTAGAAGAAAACTTCCATTAGAGCACCATTTGAAAAGATGCACATGCATTGAGAATTTTTTTCTTTGGAAATAGCATTAACTAGAAAGATGTGTTTTTAGTGTTACTGGGTTATATATTTATATAGTTCATCCCCACAAAATATAGTTAATGTTATTTCTCTCTTCTCTCATGAAGCCACATCATCATAATTATTTGTAGTCTTTAGATAATAGATCTATGGTACAAATTGTCTCTTCTTTCTTCTCTCACAATAATTAGTATCAATTATACATAAAATATGCTCACCGTGCACTATATTTGCAACCACGTGCAAATTATATAAAACATTAGAAGTCATTTTGTTTTGGTTTAAAAAAGCATACTGCAACTTATTTGTACATATTAGGCAACTTAATTTCTCACAGCAACATGTCAGGGTAATTATCTAGTTTATTAATAGTACGACACTCTGTTTTTCTAAAGAGGGGGGGGGGGTCCAATTTCAGTACATAGATTTCCATGCTCATGACATAATGCAAAGATCTGATGTAACACTAATAATTTGACTACTCATGTTCAGGTAGGAAAATATATACAGGTTTTGACAGCCTTTGTAGGTGGTTTTGTCATCGGATTCATAAGAGGCTGGATGCTGGCTCTTGTTGTGATGGCTTGTATACCTCCAAGTATTTTCTCTTTTGCATTAGTCTCTCGATTACGGGCTCAAATATCTGGAAAGACGCATGTATCATATAGCTATGCGGGGAATGTTGTTGAGCAGACCATTGGATCTATACGAATGGTATGTTCTAATTATTTCAATTTATGACAAATAATAATGCTTAGTTTTGTACATCAATAATAATGCTTACTTGCAACTATTTAACATAAAAAAACATTTAAAAAAACAGGTTGTCTCCTTCAATGGTGAGAAGAGAGCAATTACAATGTATAATACTCTCATAAAAAAGGCATACAAGGCCACTATCATGGAAGGGATTATCAGTGGTTTTGGAATAGGCTCTATCTTTTTTGTTGTTTACTGCAGTTACTCTCTTGCATTTTGGTATGGTGCCAAGTTAGTCATTAGCAAAGGCTACACTGGAGGGCAAGTCATCAATGTCGTATTTGCAATTTTGACTGGTTCAATGTGAGTTTCCTAATTGTTGACTCTGTAACATGATATGCTAGAGCACACTAGTACATATACTAAACATTTTGATATAGTTTCTCAGCTACCATGTTATTATCAAGTAAAAAGACTGAGGCATACTAGGCACTTGATGCCTACTTCTACAATAGTTAGAATTAACCACATTACAATATAATACTCCTTTGCCATATGCCAAAATCAAGACGAATAATGCTAAAAAAATAAATTAAATTAAATTAAATAACATGACACAACTATTTTGTTACAAGTATAGATTTTGTAAAGCTTTATAATTTTTCATCATATATGTAGGAATAGGGTTTGCAACTCCATGCCTAGGTATCCAGTTCTCTTTAAAAAGATTTCTTGTTATTGATACAATTGTTATTTCACCCAATTATCTAATTATTATGGTATTAACCTATGATTATACTAAATACCATATTTCTCAACAGTGTTACTTTTGAAGCATAAGATAATATGAAACTTGTTCAACTCAACAAGTGGACCCAAACTTCATGTGTCAAATAACTATGTAGTGATGATCTGCACTATTTGGTCAACTACAAAAATAGGTTTTTTTTCTTCTTTTTTTTTGACACTAAATGCATCTTTTGTTTGTAACAGGGCTATAGGTAACGCATCACCCTCTATTTCTGCTATTGCAGAAGGCCAATCTGCAGCTCATAGGTTATTCGAAATAATCAATAGAAAACCAAATATTGACATCACTGGAACTTCTGGAATAATATTAGAAGATATCAAGGGGAATGTTGAACTCAAGGATGTGTGCTTTAGCTACCCCGCAAGGCCTGAACAGTTGATACTAGATGGCTTATGTCTACAAGTACCTAATGGTACTACAATGGCAATAGTTGGGCAAAGTGGAAGTGGTAAATCAACAATAATTAGTTTGGTAGAGAGATTCTATGACCCACAGGATGGTGAAGTGTTAATAGACGGAATTAACATCAAGACCTTGAAACTCCACTGGATAAGAGGAAAAATGAGTCTTGTTAGCCAAGAGCCATTGCTTTTTATGACCTCCATCAAAGATAACATAACCTATGGTAAAGAAAATGCTACAGATGAAGAAATCAAGAGAGCAGCTGAGCTTGCAAATGCAGCAAACTTCATTGATAAGTTGCCTAATGTAGTTCCTAGATACGCCATTTGTTTCCAACAGTACCATATATACTAGTGTATTAGAATTAACTATCCCTTTTATCTTCACATGATATAGGCATATGACACAATGGTGGGTCAACATGGTGCTCAGCTTTCTGGGGGACAAAAGCAAAGGATTGCCATTGCAAGAGCTATCCTTAAAAATCCAAAAGTCCTCCTGTTGGACGAAGCTACTAGTGCATTGGATGTAGAGTCTGAGAGGCTAGTTCAAGAGGCACTAAATAGGGTCATGATAGGGAGAACTACACTCATTGTGGCCCACCGTTTGAGTACAATCAAGAATGCCGACTGCATAGCAGTGGTTCACCAAGGAAAAATAGTTGATCAAGGTAAGCCATACTTCCATACCCATTACTTGGTATTTTCTCCGTACTAAATAATCATTGTGAATCAGAGGTAGTTCAATTTGTTTCTCCAAAAATGAATGTCCCACAGGTTCCCACGATGAGTTGATCAAGGATCCCGATGGAGCTTACTCTCAACTTATTCAGTTACAACAGACTCATACTGAAGAAATGCATGATGTACAATATAGTGAGGTGTCAACTTCAAGACTTAAAAGTAGAAGTTTGTCTTTGGAACAATCAATGATCAATGATTCTCCTAGAAATAGAAGAAAAAACTCTTTAGCAAAACATATTGGCTCATCTGGATCCGATGGATTGCACAAGCATGGTCTTACAGATGAACCTGAAGATAAAGAATGTGGTGACAACAAGGATATTAATAAAGCACCAATCAGGCGACTTTTTAATCTCAACAAGCCAGAAGCACCTATTCTACTATTAGCTATTATAACTGCTTTTGTGCATGGACTTCTTTTCCCGATATTTAGTATAATGATGTCTGGTGGTATAAGAACTTTTTACTATCCACCACACCAACTTCGAAAAGATTCTAGGTTCTGGGCTTTGATGTGCATTCTAATGGCAATCATTTCTCTGGTATCGATTCAATTAGAATATTTCTTATTTGGAATGGCTGGTGGAAAACTTATAGAACGTGTCCGCTGTTTGTCTTTCCAAAGCATCGTCCATCAAGAAGTTTCTTGGTTTGATGATCCTTCCCATTCTAGGTTTGTTACTCAAATGGATTTATAAGTTTCATTCTTATATCTAACACTTTTTTTGAATGTCAATTCACCCTTCTAAATTTTACAGCGGATCACTTGGAGCAAAGTTGTACATTGATGCTTTGAACATCCGACGCCTTGTGGGAGATAACTTAGCCATACTAGTGCAGTGCATTGTAACGCTTATTGCAGGATTTACTATAGCATTTGCTTCTGACTGGAAGCTCACATTGACCATCATGTGTCCGATCCCTTTGGTGGGTTTGCAAAATTATGTACAATTGAAGTTCTTGAAAGGGTTCAGTGAAGATGCTAAGGTGAAAACAAAGTCCCTAGTATGAACAAAGCAATTTCTACCATTTCTGTTTTTTATATAAAAAATTCACAGACAATCCTGACACTTTCCACATTTGATGAAGATGTGTGTTTTGTTAGATGACACCTAATTTGGTATTACAACTGACATATTTCATGATTGGCATCGCATAATGAATTTTTTTCTTGCAATATTAGTAAATATTGTTTTGCTAACTGCTAGCGATTTCTACAGGTGATGTATGAAGATGCAAGTCAAGTTGTAACTGAAGCAATTGGTAGCATTAGGACTGTAGCGTCTTTCTGTGCAGAGAAGAGAGTGATTAAAACATACAACCAAAAATGTCAAGCTTCAATGAAAGAAAGTATTAGAAGTGGAATGGTTGGAGGCCTAGGTTTCAGCTTTTCATATTTAATGGTGTATCTCACATATGCTCTTTGTTTCTATGTTGGTGCACAGTTTGTACATGGGGGGAAATCAACCTTTAAAGATGTCTTCAGAGTAAGAGATACACATTTGGCATCACTTATATAAGGTTGTTTTTATTCAATGACAATATGTCAATCTTGTAATCGCTTTGCAGGTTTACTTTGCTTTAGTTTTCACAGCTTTTGGAATTTCTCAAACAAGCGCAATGGCATCGGATTCATCAAAAGCCCATGAATCCGCAGCTTCAATATTAGCAATCATAGACAGAAAGTCCAATATTGACTCAAGCATTGATGAAGGAATCATACTAGAAAAGGTTAATGGCACAATAGAATTGAATCATGTGAACTTCAAGTACCCATCTCGCCCAGATGTCCAAGTTTTATGTGATTTTACCTTAGGCATCCCCTCCGGAAAGGTACAGTTAACTTGGTACTTTTAATTGTTTTTCCTTTACTTCTAAGGGTAAAACATTTAGATGTTGTGCACCCAAAAAAAAAAGCAGCAAACTAGGAGCGCTTTATTTTTGGAGGAAATATCTTGCTTCCTACAACTATTGTGCTTGTACGCTCTTAATATAGGGTGTGCACTCAATTGTTACAAATATGAGTTCCTATGCACTAAGGTTTGCCTTTTTAAACTTGATAGTTCCTACAGTATGTTGGATTGCCCTGATCCTTGTCTTCTCATCCTCATTGAGCAAGGCAAGAGAACTAAATATGCCTTTCAAATGAAAATTACCAATAATACAAATTTCTCTATATTTATTTTCCTTTATAATTAAACTTGTACTGACATGCTATAAACCAATTGTCATATGCAGACTGTTGCACTTGTTGGAGAGAGCGGCAGTGGAAAGTCCACAGTAATTGCTTTGCTGGAGCGATTCTATGACCCACATTCTGGCACAATCTCACTAGACAGAGTAGAACTTAAAAACTTAAAATTGAGTTGGTTAAGAGATCAAATGGGATTGGTAAGCCAAGAACCAATACTTTTCAATGACACAATTCATGCCAACATAGCATACGGGAGGAAAGGACAAGTAACCGAAGAAGAGATTATAGCTGTTGCTAAGGCAAGCAATGCTCATGAGTTCATATCAAGCTTGCCTCAGGGATATAACACTACTGTCGGAGAAAGAGGAACACAACTATCTGGTGGGCAAAAGCAACGGATAGCTATAGCAAGGGCCATCTTGAAGGACCCAAAAATACTTCTATTGGATGAGGCTACAAGTGCCCTTGATGCTGAATCAGAGCGCATTGTTCAAGATGCACTAGATCAAGTTATGGTAAGCAGGACCACCATTGTGGTAGCACACCGTCTGTCCACGATTAAAGGGGCAGATGTGATTGCAGTCATCAAGGATGGTTCAATCGCTGAAAAGGGACAACATGACTCTCTCATGAGGATCAATGGTGGAGTCTATGCATCGTTGGTAGACCTACACTCAAAGACAACATAAAGAGATGTATTTTTTTCTCCCCTAGGTTTGTTCATCTACAAGGTGGGAAAATGCACACAATATTATGCATCAAAGATATATGGAACATCACTTATTGCCTATACTTTAGGTTTTGTTTGGCCTAAGACACCAAGGTAAAATTGCACAATAATTTGTTTTCGTAGTTTCAGGGTATTGGATGACACGACATAAAGAGATGTAATTTCTTTTACCCTAGCGTTGTTCATCTACAAGCTGGAAAAATGCACACAAATATTATGCATTAAAGCACGAGAAAATTCCTTCTATGCTCCTGAAACTTTAGCCGATCCCTTCTATGTCCCTGAATTTCCTTCTATGTCCTTGAATTTTTATTCACCTCCTTGTATACCCCCTGAGTTTTGATTTTGATCCCTTCCATACCCTAACCGTTAAATAGGTTAAAAAAAGTCAATTTAACCCTTAGATGTGGAAGAAATATGTAATGATTTTTTAAATCTATTGTTAAAAATATAATAATTTATTGCGTGACTATAATATTCATAAGTTTATTTCATGAGGAAGTATTTGTAATAATTCTATGTATAATAATTCCTCATGAAATAAACTTATGAATATAATAGTCACGCAATAAATTGTTATATTTTCAACAATAGATTTCACAAATCACTACATATTCCTTACACATCCATGTGTAAAACTAACTTTTTTACACCTATTTAACGGTCAACTAGTGGTCAATTGATGGCAAGGGTATGGAAGCGATCAAAATCTAAAGTTAGGGGGTATACAAGGAAGCGAAGAAAATTTAGCGACATAGAAGGGATCGACTAAAGTTTTAGGGGCATAGAGGGAATTTTCTCAAGATTGTATGGAAAACCACTTATCACCTATACTTCAGATTTTGTTAGGTGTAAGAGAATCTCCAACAGCCTCTCCAAATGACTCTCCAAGCCAAATTTTAGCCATTCCAGTGAAAAAAACACCCTCCAACAGCCTCTCCAACCGGATGGCTAAGCCATCTGGCTGGCCAAAACCCTCCCTCCACTAGCCAAATTTGGCCAGCCAAAATGACTAGCCAACTATGGGCCCTACGCACATTAACATCCGGCTATTCTCTCTCGTTGTTGCACGCGACCGCACGGCCGTCCGCGGCCTCCGTCGCCCGCCGCGACCGCCGCCGCCGTCCGCGTTGTCGCCGGCCGCGGCCTCCGCCGCCGCAGTCCGCGCCATCGCCCGCCACGACCGTCGTCGCCATTCGCGTCGTTGCCGACCGCGACCTCCGCCGTCGTCCGCGAGCCCCGCCGCCGTCTGCTCCGTCACCGGCCACGGCCACGCCGTTGCCCGCCGTCCACGCCGTCGTCCGCCACGCCCGCCGCCGCCATCCGCGTTGTCGCCCGCCGCGGCCACTGCCGCCGTCCGCGCCATCGCCGGCCGCGGCCTAAGCTACCGCAGTCTGCGCCGTCACCCGCCACGACCGTCGCTGCCATCCGTGTCGTCGCTGACCGCGACCTCCGCCGTCGTCCGCGAGCCCCGCCGCCGTCCGCGGCCACACCGTCGCCCGCCGCGACCGCCGCTGCAGTCCGCGTCGTCGCCCGCCACGACCGCCGCCGCTAGCACGAGCTCTGCAGAAGAACGAGCAGAGGATGGGAGAAAAGGGGAGGAAGAAGAAAGAGGAGAATGACAGGTGGGGTCCATTGGTTAATAGAGAGTGGAATGTGGAGAGTCTGTTGGAATAGAAGATAAATTTCACTCTCTAAATTTTTGTTAGGCTGGCCAAATAGGTATTTGGAGAGTCAAAAATGGCCACACTGTTGGAGATGCTCTAAGACAATACAGGTAAAATTATACTATTCTTTGTTTTCATGGTTTCAGCGCATTATTAGATGACCAATGCATATAGTAAACAAAAAACATATCACTCATTCCCTCTAGTCCTTCAACATTTATCTAAAGTGAAAATTACCTCATAATCTATGAATAACGGGTATTTCTACAATTTTCCACTAGCAGAAAAATAATCGCACAATATGCCCTAAATTTAAGCTTCAAGAATGAAAACTTCACATAATTTTTGCAAATAGATTTGTGAGAAATGATAAATATTTCATAAAATGCAAGTCTCATAAACTTACTATTTAGATTTGGTTTTTGGAGAGAAAATTTAGCAGGATTACCTTTCGTACATCAAAAGTCTAACGGACACTATGGTGCCCATCAAGGGTAGGGACAAGGGTGAGACAATTAGGCTTGAACGCTAGAGGTGGCAATGGGGCAGGGCGAGGGTGGGTTGGATAGGAACATCCCCGCCCCCCTCCTCCGCGGGTTCACTGGCCCTAGCCCCAGAGGAATAGACATGACGAAATCAATGAGTGCTAGACTTAAAACCAAATTCCCATTAAAATCTTATACAAAATATTGTGAAAAAAATGAAGATATAAAGAGACTTACCAAGAACAAATCAACTTAGCTAGGGATGAAAACGGTCGGAAAAACCTTTTACCATTTTCATTTCCATTTTTTAATCGAAAATGGACTCAGATTGGTAGATCTGAAAAAAGTAGTGATATTGATAATATCAGTATTATGTCGGAAAAGGGGCCATCGGAATGGAATCTACCGATATTAGTCAGAAGTTGAAAATTCATGTTGGAAACAACGGAGTGTGTCATAATCACACGTTTAACTATGCATGTCGTGTAACTAATGCCGCGGCTCACCTTTTAGCTCAATGTTCAGAGCTAAAAACTTGTAATATCTACCGTGATATAATCCCTGAGCCAATCCAGGAAGTACTGCTGTCTGATCTTAATTAATCTAAGAGACACCGCATTATCTATAAAAAAAAACTATGCATGAAGATGGTTTCTTTTGGCTCCGCCCCACCCACAATTGTTAGAGCATCTCCAAACCAAATTATAGCAACCACATGAAAAAAAATGTCCTCCAACAGCCTCTCTAACGGGCTGACCAAGCTATCCCGCTGGCCAAACCCTGCTAGCAACTGGCCAAATCTAGCCAGCCACAACAGTTGGCCAATGGTGTGCCCCATGCCCTCTCCCCCTTCCCGCAACCTCTCCTCTTCCTTCTCTCTCCTTCCTCAAGGGAGCACCCATGGCGAGTATTCCAGCGTCGCTCCTTCCCGCCTCATCCGGCTCCCCCGGTTGAGCCGCCACATCCGACACCATCACCTCCACCCCCGGCTGCATCCGGCGCCGCCGCTTGCACTCCTCTCTGCCTTCCCACGCCGCCGCATCTGCCCCTAGCCACATCCGCCCCTGTCCCTGACCATCCGACGCCATTGTTGAGGTTGCCGTTGCCGTCACCACCGCCTCCCCCCAGAAGATGGCCGGCATCCCCCTCTGCTTGAGGAGGGCCCGAGCCATCCCCACAACCGTCTGGTTGCGCCGCTCGACGACGCCGTTCTGCTGCGGGCTGTACGGCGTGGTGTAGTGGCGCTGAATGCCCTCATCAGCGCAGTACGACGCGAATTCAGCCGCTGTGAATTCGCCGCCGTTGTCGGTGCGCAGCACGCGCAGCTTGCGGCCGCACTCCGCCTCTGCAGCAGCCTGTGCATGCCTGATGGCGTCCGCAGCCTCTCCCTTGCTGCCGAGGACCGTCACCCACATGTAGCGGGAGAGGTCGTCGACGAGCAGCAGGAAGTAACGTCGTCCTCCTGGTGTGGCCGGTGTCACTGGGCCACACAAGTCCCCGTGCACGAGCTCGAGCCGCTCCTTGGCTCGGAAGCTCATCTGCTGGGGAAAGGGGAGCCGCCGCTGCTTCGTCACCACGCAGACGTCGCAGAGCTGCTCCACGTGGTCAAGGCACGGCATGCCTCGCACCATCTCCTTGGCACTGAGCTGCTTCAGGGCCTCGAAGTGGAGGTGCCCGAAGCGCTCGTGCCACTGCCACGCCTCGTCGTCCCGACGAGCGGCGAGGCAAACTGGTTGTGCGACCTGCGCGCTGAGGATGTAGAGTCGATTAGTGCCTCTGGTTACCTTGGCAAGAAGGCGACGACGGCGATCCCAAATCCTCATGAGTCCGTCCTCGACCAACACGCGTGAGCCGTTCTCATCCAGCTGTCCCACGCTGATGATAGAATTCCTCAACGCGGGGATGTAGTAGACTCCGGTGAGCAGCCTGTGCTCACCGGACTTGGCGGTGAAGGTGACGGAGCCAACACCCTTGATCTCCACGCCGGAGGCGTCCCCGAACTTGACGGAGCCTCGGACGCTGGAGTCGAACTCGGTGAAGAACTCCCGTCGGCCGGTCATGTGATGGGTGGCGCCGGTGTCGAGGTACCACCCATCAGCCTTGTCGTTGCTGGAGCCGTTGCAGAGGGAGACGAGTACCTTCGGCTCATCAAGGTGGAGGAAAGCCGCTGCGGCCGGTGCCGCTGGAGGTAGCTCGATGCTTGCGTGAGCCAGGAGCAGAGCCGGCTCTTCCTCCTCCACCCGTGCGACGTGGGCCTGGCCGCGTCGTGGCTGTCGACAGTCTTTGGCCCAATGGCCAAGCTTGCCACAGTTGCGGCAGGCGTCGTCTCGTGCCGGCTTGTGGTTGCCGGTGGCAACGCCCTGGGCGCCTCTGCGGGCGCCACCCTCGGCACGTCTTCGCGCCCACCGTAGCTGGACACCTCCCCGCGCCTTGCGCGGCTTACGGCCGCCTGTCGGGGAAGATGACTCCCCCTTCCTCCCGTCACCCTGAGAGGCCTCCCACTGCTCCCTAGTGAGATGGAGCTTCCCGCCGATGGTGATGGGCCCCGAGAAAGGCTGTGGCTCATCACCATCGACGACCTTGAGGCGACCTAACGCCTCCTCGATCAACATCGTGGAGAGGTCCAGCAGAGATTCGATCGAGCGAGCGATCTGTCTGTACTTCTCAGGGACGCAGCGGAAGAGCTTCTCGACAGCTCTCTCCTCGTCGTAGGTGTCGTCGCCGTACTGCACCATTTTCTGCAAGAGAGTGTTGAGACGGAGAGCAAAGTCATCAACATCCTCACCTGGCTTGAAGGCCAGGTTCTCCCACTCCTTGCGGAGTGCCTGCAGTGTGGACTTGCGGGCGCGGTCGCTGCCGATGCGTGCCGCAGCGATGGCGTCCCAGGCCTCCTTGGCAGTCCGCTTCTGGGAAAGCGAGAACTGCATCTCGGGCGGGACTGCAGCGATGAGGGCATCCAGTGCCCGCCGATCCTCGTCGTAGTTGACGTCACCGTACCGGACTGCCTCCCACATGTGCCGCACCTGGAGCCTCACCCTCATCACCGCGGCCCACTCGATGTAGTTGGTTTTGGTGAGGGTAGGCCACCCACCGCCGGGACCAAAGTCCCTGACCACCGTCTGGACACCGTGGTGACCATGGCGCCGGTCAGGGGAGAGAGAGCCGTGCTGCCTGCGAGGGCCGCGTGCGAGCTCCGGGCTGCCGCCGGCACGCCTGCGCCCGTCTGGGTTCCCGTCGGCGGGCGCGCGGTCCCTTGGGCCGCCGCCGCCGCCGTGGAGGTGGGCTGCTGCCCACCGCTCTGCTCGCTCCCGTGCCCTTCCTCTTGCCAGCTCCTCAAGCTCCCTGTCGGCGGTGATGTCGCCGGCGATGGAGCCGTTGATGCTGCTGCGCAAGGTCTCAACCTCTACCTCCGCCGCACGTGCCGCATCTTCCGCCGCCTCCGCCTCCGCCTCCGCCCTGGCTGCTGCCAACTCCGCTGCCGCCAGTCTGGCCGCCCTCGCTGCTGCTGCAGCGGTCTGAGCCGTTGCTCGCCTGCGCTCTTCTGCTGCGGCGAGCTCGGCGTCCTGCTGACGCCGAGTGCTCGAGGCGACCGAACGCCGAGACTGAGCGTCGGACATGGCGCACCTCCGGGGGGCTGCTGCGTGGAGAGGGGGAAGGGAAAGGGGAAGGAGGAGCAACCGGTGCTGCTGCTGCTGCTGGCTGAGAGCTCAACCGAGCTTGGGAAGGGGTGGAACAAGAGATGTTTAGCCTACAGGAAAGTGTGGCTCTGATACCAGATGTTAGAATTTCAATGGTTACTCTCATTGAGAAGAGGATGGCACTCGAGATGGGGCAATTTTCTGGTTTTCTTCATTCACTAAACACAAAAGCCATACCTTCCCGAGGGAGGTTGGATACATATATATATAGCCATAGCTGGCTGGATGGCTGCTAGCTAATTGCTGCCCACACTAGTCTAAAATTTGAACGCAATGCTGTCCTAGAGAGCATCCAAACTGAATAAAGCATAAAGGAGATGCTAGATGCTGTCCTAGGGATGCTAAAAGCAAAACCGAAAGATGCTAAAAGCAAAACTGAAAGGATGCTGTCCTAAAAGGGGAAAAACAACCTAAAAGCAAGAGAAGGACCACAAAGACCAAAGACCACAAGGCTTATTCCATCATAGTTAGTGCGTACACACAGACACAGTTGAATTTACTGTCTGTGGCTACCAAGATCATACGTTCAGAACCATAGGTCTTTCATGCAACAAAGTAACAAACTACCAAAGAACACCCTCTAGTTTAGCATCAACTTCTCAAATCACAAGTAGCTAGAATTTATGGCTAAATAAGTTATACACCATCAAAATATACATCATTTTACTCGGAATTAGAGCGGAGTTGTACAAGTGAAGCATATGCACCATCCTTGATCCGCAATAGTGCTTCATGCTTTCCTTTTTCTGCAATTTTTCCTTCCTTGAGGACTGCAATCATATCAGCCCCTTTGATTGTGGAGAGGCGGTGTGCCACTACAATGGTAGTCCTGTTGACCATGACTCGATCCAATGCATCTTGAACAACACGTTCTGATTCTGCATCTAGAGCACTGGTTGCCTCATCAAGTAGCAGTATCTTAGGGTCCTTTAGGATGGCCCTTGCAATTGCTACCCTCTGTTTTTGCCCACCAGATAGTTGCACCCCTTTCTCACCTACCACTGTGTCGTATCCTTGTGGCAGGCTTGATACGAACTCATGGGCGTTTGCTGCCTTGGCCACAGCAGTGATCTCTTCCTCTGTTACCTCACTGTGTTTCCCGTATGTTATGTTGGCACGGATTGTGTCGTTGAAAAGCACTGGCTCCTGGCCTACAAGCCCCATCTGATCCCTCAACCAGCTGACTTTTAAGCTTCTAATTTCAACTCCATCTAGTGAGATATTACCAGAATCAGGATCATAGAAACGCTCTAATAAAGCAATTATCGTGGACTTCCCACTACCGCTTTCTCCAACAAGTGCTATGGTCTGTAGAAAAGGAAGGAAAAGGTTTAGTCATAACTATTTCAGTGCATGGAAATGCTGAGATGCAAAAAATAAAATGTAAAGTTGTGTATCAACACATATGATGTCACGGAAGTGGATGGGTCACACTCGCATCTATTTTGAAGTATGTTACTAGTTGTATTATGTAAATAGTTCAATAATCAAGTTAATTTTCTGATGGAAATTTTGGGCATGCACTAGTTTCAAGAAATAGGAAAAAGGAAGACAAATAGGTGAATGTGGAAGTATACCTTTTGGGAAGGAATGTGCAAGGTAAAGTCACTGAATATTTGAACATCAGGGCGTGATGGGTACTTGAAACTGACATTATTGAAATCAATGCTGCCAGTGACGTTTTCCATTATCGCTCCCTCGTCGCTACTTGAATCAATCCTAGACTTCCGATCGATAATACTAAAAATGGAAATGGCAGAATCCCTTGCCTTTGTTGCATTAGTAGACAATGCACTTGACTGCGAAACACCAACGGCTGCCAAAACTAAAGCAAAGAAAACCTGAAAAGCATCCAGCCCATTTGTGAATGATACTAGAATTAATATTCATATAGGCAATTGTTACTTGAAATACTTTAGGATTTCTTACTTTGAAAACATCTGAAAAAGTAGTTTTTCCCTGACTTACGAACTTTGCACCAACATAGAAGCAAAGACCGTAAGTCAGATATAACATCAAGTTTGAGAAACTTAAGCCAATCCCTCCAACGATTCCGCTTCGAATTCCCTGTTTTCTTAAAGCTTCACATTTCTTGTTGTATATTGCCACCACTCTTTTCTCTGAACAGAAAGATGCTACAGTTCTGATGCTGCCTACAGCGTCAGCCGCAACTTGGTTTGCATCCTCATACATCTCCTGTATAATGAGATCCCATTATAATGGCAATCAATTTAATTCTAGATCACTTGTCTAGATCATTCTCAATAAAACAGCAAGCAATTTTTACAGTTGTAAGCTGTAATGTGTCACCTTAGATTCTTCACTGAACCCCTTCAAGAACTTAACTTGAGCATAGCCCTGTGCACCCACTAAAGGAATTACACAAGTGATGATCAGTGCAAGCCTCCAATCTGCCGCAAAAGCTATGGCAAAGCCAGTGATTAGTGTAGCTACAGCCTGGACTATAAGGGCCAGGTTATCTCCTACTAAACGGCGGACATTCAACGCATCGACTGAGAGCCTTGTACCAAGTGCCCCACTGTAAGAAATAAGATGGCCTCTTAGCATTGGTTTAAATGTAAATATTTTTTTATAAAAGATAAAATAGCAAAAGTACATTAGAGTAGCGCACCTGGAATTGGAGGGCTTATCAAACCAAGCAACCTCTTGGTGCATAATTCTTTGAAATGACAGTGTACGGACACGCTGTATAAGCTTTCCCCCAGCAATTCCAAACAAAAAATATTCTGCTGGGATTGAAATCAAACAAGCAACCCCCAGAACAACAGACATCAATGCCCAAAATCTAGAATCTTTTCGCAGCTGATCTGGCGGTTCATAGAATGATTTTAGAACACCTGGCATTATTATACCGTATAGTGGCAAAATGACTCCATGCACTGATGCTGCTATAGAACCTAACAAAAGAACTGGCACTTCTGGCTTATTAAGATTAAAAAGCCGTCCAAATGGTGTTTTTTTAATGGCCTTACTGTCAGAGTGGTCAACCTTTTGTTGTTCGCTTGTCATTCCATCCTCATGTATATCAACAGGCAATCCTAAGGGGCTCTTGAAGGAATACCTGTTGCTCTTGCTGAGAAAATCTTTAGTTCTTGATCGTCTGAATGACAAACTAGTACTTTTTGATCTGGAATCTGGTAGTTTATGCCTTTCATCACGATGAGTCTCTTGTAGCCTAATTAGCTGGGAGTAAGCTCCATCGGGATCCTTCACCAGTGCATCATGAGGACCTGTGTACGCAGGACATGTTTTGGTATAATGAATCATTTAAGGTTGACCGCAGAAATTTTCTATAATAGAAAAACAGTGCATTTCAAGTTAATTCAACCTTGTTCAACTATTTTTCCTTTGCGGACGACTGTGATGCAATCAACATTCCTCACAGTGCTCAAACGATGAGCGACAACGAGTGTGGTTCTTTCTACCATCATTCTATTTAGTGCCTCCTGAACTATCCTCTCAGACTCCACATCAAGTGCACTTGTTGCTTCATCGAGCAAAAGGATTTTTGGATCTTTGAGGATGGCTCTTGCAATTGCAATTCTCTGTTTTTGTCCTCCAGAGAGCTGAGTACCGCGCTGGCCAACTAAAGTATCATAACCCTGGTATGACATGAAAACATTGTTAGCTGATTATTTCATTAATATACAATTAAATTTGAGAACTTGGAGCATTCAGTTTTTCCTTTCTTACATTTGGTAACTTGTCAATGAAGTTAGCTGCATTTGCAAGCTCCGCTGCTCTCTTGATCTCTTCAAGCGTTGCATCTTTTTTACCATATATTATGTTATCTTTAATGGAGGCCATAAAAAGCAGAGGCTCTTGGCTAACAAGACCGATCTTCCCTCTTATCCAATCAAGTCTCAGTTTCTTGATGCTAATTCCATCTATTAAAACTTCGCCAGACTGTGGATCGTAGAATCTTTCGACTAGGCTGATAACAGTTGACTTTCCGCTTCCACTCTCTCCGACTATAGCCATTGTTGTTCCACTCGCTACTTGTAACGACAATCCATCCAATATCAACTGCTCTGGTCTTGCAGGGTAACGAAAGTACACATCCTTTAGCTCAATATCGCCATTCATATCTTCTAAAACCATGCCATTGTTATCATCGGAATCTATCTCTGGTTTCCTCTCAATTGTTTTGAACAAATTGTATGCTGCAGATTGACCTTCCACAACTGCAGCAACTGCAGGTGTTGCATTGCCTAATGAGCTGTCACAAACAATTGGAAAGTGCCATGTTCAGAACATTATATACCATATCAAATGATAAAATTTTAATGGCTATTTTGTTGTAAATCTTTCAACTTTAATGTGATTTTAGGAGAAATAGCAAGTAATGTAGGTAAAGCAGTGAAACCCAATGCAATCGTTTGCATATAACATGTAATGTACTTCTCAGGAGAATATTCTCTTCGTGACGATTCCAAAAGCCTAGCGTTTGTCTACTTCTCCTGTTAGCGCAGAACATATTGATTAAACCTGCTCTTGCAATTGCTAAGGATACCTTGATTTAGCTATTAGGTACTTATGTCTATATCTCAGTTCATGATCCCCTTTTACTAACTGGAATTAATAACTACTCCTTAGCAATTGGTATGTCTGCCTAAAATGGTAATAGGGCCTAGGGATTATGTATAGTCAAGCAATTGACTTGACCATCAAACTTTAAGTTCATTCCATTCTGTTTACAAGAAACAAGTTACTTTCATGCATTGGCAATTAGCATTGTCTTTTTGTAAATAGTAATCAAGAAAATATTGAAAATAATTTAAGGTAATTCTGAAAATCATCTTGAAATCCTGAGAAGTTTTCTAAAAAACACCTGAGAAATGAACAAAACTGCCATTTGCACTTCTAAAATTGCATGCTAACCAGCCTTCTTGATTTTGAGGTAATATATATAAATTTCTTGTTATATTTCCATCAATCCAAATAATACATGAATAGATTGGGGGTTCATTATTGTAGTGCACTAAACAGCATGTATTTTGATATCAACAGTGGAGGATTTGCTGAAACTTACGATGCACCGGTCAACACGGCAAACAAGATAGTCATGATTTTTCCTCCTGTGTAACCTTTCTCAATGATTAGCTTTCCACCATACCAGAAGGCTAATCCATAGCTGCCAAATACGACGCACATGACAGAGCCCATGCCAAAACCAGTGATAATGCCTTCCTCAATAGTAGCCTTGTATGACTTCTTTATAAAATTACGGTACATTGCTATCGCTTTCTTCTCACCATTGAAGGACACAACCTGTTAACACAGGATATTTATCAAACTTACTGTCTGCTACTCCAAAAAAAGAAGTGTGTTATAGCATTAAACAATTCATATAAATATGTGAAACTCACTGTTCTTATAGATCCAATGGTCTGTTCAACTGTGTCCCCAGCATCACTATATGATGTTTGTCTCTTGCTAGAAACTCTAGTTAGGGCCTGTGCAGAAACTGCACTGGCAATAGCAATTAACGGTAGCGATGTTAGCATGACAAGAGTGAGAAGCCATCCTCTAGTGAATGCTATGATAAAGCCACCGATGAAGCTTGATAACAGTTCTACAAGCTTCCCTCCCTGTAAAGGTTAAGATTAAAAATCCAAGAACACATCAGCAACAGTAGCACAAGGTGTAACTTACTGCCTGAATATATGAAATAATACAGTTAGTAAATATGATAACTATATCCGTTTGATATATCTTCCTAAATATGCAAATAATTATGCCTGCCATCAACTTGTGTCTATCCACACTTTTGTTTGCACTGTGATGAAAATATATGTTTTTTTTTCAGTAGCAATTTAATAAAAAATAGTATGTTCCTTACAACGGAGCTACTAGGTATTTAGTACCTTCTCACCAAGAGCACCTTGAATTAGGAGGGTATCACTAGACATTCTAGAAACTGCTTCACCAGTTGTCATCTCTGTGTCGAAGAATGTAATATCCTGCCTCAGAACGGCTTTCAGGTATAAAGAACGGATGCGGGCAGACTGCCTTTCTCCTGCCATAGTCCAGCATGATACCTCTGGGACAAATTAAGGTGAGTTTTTTACTGGCAGTTGTACCATTAGCATGTGATATATTTAACCGAACAGATTAGATCGAAGATGCTGAGGATTATATGGTTAGGGAACGCATTTGGTACTTCTCACCGGATAAGTGCATGATGATGTTTATACTGTGTTAGTGTATCACAGTTGAGAATAACCGAATTCTAACATGTAGTAACAACTGACAACCATGATGTTAATAATGAATATTATGTATTGGTGATTGCGCATCCATGCAAGAGCAAATTAATTACTTATCCTAAGGGTGTGTTTGGCAAATGGGATATGGCAGGTGGGATTGGGAAATGGAAATGGATGAATGACTAGGATTAAATGAGGTGTAAAGAATAAATGGCTAGGATTAAATGAGGTGTGAAGAATGGATAGCTAGGATGCAATATTACCTTTTGGAGGGTGGGATATTATTTCTCAATCCCATTTACCAAACAAAGCCTAATTTCACACTATCCTACAAAATTTCTTACTGACTTATGGATACTGAGACCCTTTGAATAAAAAGTGTTAATTTTGCTTTGGAATCTGATGGATACTCTGAGACCCTTTAAATGAAATTTCTTATTGACTTATGGATACCCGGAGACTCATTGAATAATAGGAACAAATTAGATATTGAAAGAATTTCTAATACTGTTTACTACAAATTCCCTTGCTGAATACTATTTATATGTTTCACATCCATAATTTGAAGCTACAGGTTCCACTAATTCTTTTTTTTTCTTTGTTTTTTTCAGCGAAAAGGGCAGGAGCTTCTCTCTACTTCACTAAAGAGGTGTTCCAATCAGAGAAAGGACTTTTACTTACGAAGAAAGGAAGCTACTGAAGTTCCAATTCCCAGATATATGAAGTTGAGGACAACCTGGAGGAGAAAGAAGATCCAAAGTTAATTTGGCTACCGGCCGGTGTGTCTCCATCGCGTATCACTAAGCGCCCGCGGGCACTCACCTTGGTCACGCTGCGGAGGACGCTGCCGCTGGTGTTCGCGCCGAAGGAGTTGATGACGTTGCCGAAGAGGACCGTCATGAGGGGCTGCGAGATGCCGTTGCCGAGCGCGCCCACCGTGCCGACAACCATCAGCAGCACGTCGAGGCGGTCGGCGTACCGGAACAAGCTGAACAGCGGCACCTTCTTCCCCGACGACGACGACGCCGCCGCCGCAGCATCCTTCGTCTCCCGGCCATGATCATCACCTGTTCCTCTGCCTGACTCGTCCATTTTTCTCGCCGGCCGGCTAGCTACAGCCTATTTGCTCGAGCTGGGTGACATCACTGGGTGGAGGAGGTACCTGCATATATAGGCATTTCCTGTGCAGGATTTTGACTGTTACGCGCACTCCTGTTTTTTCGGTGCTTGGAAAATGGAACTGACGGGGAAGGCGGGATGTACTAGCCATGTGATTACGCCAGGATTTTGCAAAGATTACACAACCACAAGTATGAGCGCGACGAGCCCAAGACCCGTGTTGTTTTTCTTCAGCTGTACGTACTGCTGTTCCTTTTCTGCGTGATCATTAGCTGAATTTTCAACTGGGGCCGAAATCTTCGTCGTGGCGTCCCGATGCATGTACGTTCAGGCAATCGATGCTGGCTAGCTGGGCAATAGGACGTCTGCGCGTACATACGTTACGTGCGTGTTATACGTGTGAATCTTCCACGTGATCGCAAAAAATGCCTAGCGCCACACATACACGTGTGTAAAATACCGATCCATGTTTTCTGATGCAGATACCAACGGTCAATTTCGTACGAGCTTTGAGCAAACTAATGCTCCCTCCGTTTCAAAATATAAAAAAATCTTGATTAGATGGAACACATCATACTATTATGAATCTGATTCGTACTTAAAAAATATTTTCTATCCAATCAAAACTTCTTATATTTTGAAATAGAGAGAGTAATATAAACCTGGAGTATCCTTTACGGTAGAGCAGATCAATACATCTAGAACTAGGAATTCTTCAGGTCACTGTCACCTTAGCGACACACCCTCATGAATGTGCCACTGCAATTTGCAAATGGCAAGGCCTTCACCTAGCTGGATTTGATTCCACATTTTGACTGAGCAACTTTATCGTTTTCGTGAGCACACTTCTTAAATTGTTAAAAGTATATATTTCTTTTAAAAAAACTTTATATATAGAAGGTTTTAAAAAATAAAAAGGAATCTATTTTTAAAATTGAAAATAGTTAATAATTAATTAATTATTCATTAATAATCTATCCCTTTCTAGTCAAGCCGAACGCCCAGTTAAACTTTACATACTTTGACCAGGAGAGAACTGGTGGACACCATAGGAGGCAGGAAGGCAGGAGGCAGACCTGCTTGGAAGCCAAGAAAAGCACACGTTGACGTCGCTAGCGTTTTGGGATTTTCCGTAGCCCGATTCGAGGTCTCCTAGTCCTCGCACGTCCACCAGCTGTGCAAATATTCCACGAGAGCACCTTTCAAATTTCAATACTCCAGTTGATTGTTCAGCGGCTCGGGTGCTTCCTACACAAGGCAGCATGACTCCTGCTGGCACGTCTTGTTCATTTCGAGTCATGCTTAGCTAGGGTAGGATAGGCTCGATCGGCTGCAACAAGTTGGGCCATCTCGAACTTGTTGAGCTTGAAAGGGTGGTAATGGGCCATAGGCCATGGGATCTTTCATAGTCCAACTCAATCATTTCTCTTAACCTCAAAACATAAAAAAAAAAAAAAATCAGCCCAACCTTTCAACTTTTGAAATTTATAGACTAAGCCCTTATTTAGTTCCCAACTTTTTATTCAAACTTCCAACTTTTCCATCACATCAAAACTTTCCTACACACATAAACTTCCAACTTTTTTCTTCAAACTTTCAATATTAGTCAAACTTCCAATTTTATCGTGGAACTAAGCACACCTTAAAATTTTGGGCGCATCTTCTCCATCACCTCCGTCCTCTCCTCCTCCGCTGCTGTAGGCTGCGGCCTCATCCACTCTAGCTGCCCACCGCCACCGCCGCCGCCTCCTTCTCGCACATGCTTGGTGAGCTTGAGCTCATCGGCTCCCTTCTCTTCTCTTCCGCCACTATGGACCACGAGAACCCTCTCGACGCTGATCTCTCACAGCTGGGGATACAAATATGAGGGGCGTTCATATATAGACGTACACGTCAATAACCATCTACCATGTCATAAAGAAGCCCTCTAGGAAATGCCCTCCTAATGCGTGCTATAGATTTGCAAAAGTTTGAAAAAATATTTTAAAAATATTTTAACAAAAAATATAAAAACAAAAAAGAGTAAATTTCATATTTGGGACAAATTTTATTACCGATGTTTCGTTTTGGACCACCCTTTAAACCAATGTTTTCATTTTGGACCAAGTAATCTTGCCTTTCCTTAACTTTGGACTACCCCGACTCTCTTCTCGAGCAGATGAACGACCTCAAGTACGTCGGCTTCTCCTCGTCAAAACCCCCTCAAATGTATGTAGATTGTTTCTTTGACATATGATAATTTTGATGTAGATGGATAAAAGAGTTGAGGGATGGTTCAAAGTGCCACAAAGGTAAAATTACCTGGTTCAAAATGTAAACATTAGTTAAATGGTGATCCAAAGCGAGACACCGGTAATAAAAAGGTGACCCAAAGTAAAATTACTCAAATAAAAAAATTTGTAGAATTTATAGGCTAAAATTTTGGACCCATTACTAAACCGATTGTCCAAAAAGACCATCTCAAAGTATTTTAGTATTGACCACCAAGTTTAACTGTCAAGTTTGAACTGTAGTTAGGGTCTGTTTGAATCTCTAACTTGGTTTAGCTTTTTAGCACAAGCAAAATGAGTCAAACCATTAGCACATCTGTAATTAGTATAAATTATTACAAAATTTAAAAATAGGCTTATTTTATTTTTTAAAGAAAAAACACACTATTTAACATTTTAAAAAATGTGTTAACGAACAAAAAGGAAACCTAGTTTGGAGTTGAAAAAAGACGAAGCCTTGGAGTTTAATTTTAGGCTATTATTCGTTCACAGAAGTTATACATAGCCATGTAATTTATGAATGTAGACAGAAATAATCCTCATAATTCCATCTATTCAGTTTGCTCCAAATTTTATTGCTAATGCTACAGATCTTTTTCCCCGTGAGGACTATCACCGCGGCGCCGAATTGCCGAAATCGCGACGATGTACATTTGCATCTGCAGTGCCTTTTCGGATAAAAAGCGTGACACGTTGTACCCCAACCCGAATACCCGATGGATCCGTCCCCGAGAATTCTTCCCGTTTCCCGCAAAACGCCACAGGCCGCACGCCGAGGAGAACAAACCCACCCCCACCGACCATTTCCTCTCCGGGGAGGTGGCGCTGCGGTGCACGGCGAGAAAAAGCCCCGCACACCGTCTCATCTGGTTGTGAGCTAAGCCATCGCCGGAAGCAATTAAGCAAATCGAGACGTCTCGAGGAGGCCAAGCTAGCTCGCGCGCAAATTAATCGCCGATCGATCCTACGATGAAGCGGAAGCGGCCGGCGGCGCTGCGCGGCGGGGAGGAGGCGGCGGCGGCGGCGCTGAAGCGTGGGCCGTGGACGCCCGAGGAGGACGAGGTGCTGGCGCGGTTCGTGGCGCGGGAGGGGTGCGACCGGTGGCGCACGCTGCCGCGGCGCGCGGGCCTGCTGCGCTGCGGCAAGAGCTGCCGCCTCCGGTGGATGAACTACCTCCGCCCCGACATCAAGCGCTGCCCCATCGCCGACGACGAGGAGGACCTCATCCTCCGCCTCCACCGCCTCCTCGGCAACCGGTAAGCAATTCTTGATGCACCGAAGGCGATCGCTCGTGTGCAAAGGTCGTACTGCTCCTCCGGTGAGGTGACCGCCCGTGCATGTGCTTGTAGGTGGTCGCTGATCGCCGGGAGGTTGCCGGGGCGCACGGACAACGAGATCAAGAACTACTGGAACTCGCATCTCAGCAAGAAGCTCATCGCGCAGGGCATCGACCCGCGGACGCACAAGCCGCTGACGGCCGCCGCCGATCACTCCAACGCCGCCGCTGCCGTCGCCGCCACTTCTTACAAGAAGGCGGTGCCGGCCAAGCCGCCGAGGACGGCATCCTCGCCGGCCGCTGGCATTGAGTGCAGCGACGATCGTGCCCGACCGGCCGACGGTGGCGGTGACTTCGCAGCGATGGTGAGCGCCGCCGATGCCGAGGGATTCGAAGGAGGATTTGGCGATCAGTTCTGTGCCGAGGATGCAGTTCATGGTGGCTTCGACATGGGTTCCGCTTCCGCCATGGTGGGTGACGACGACTTCTCCTCGTTTCTTGATTCTCTGATCAACGACGAGCAGTTAGGCGATCTCTTCGTCGTCGAGGGCAACGATCACGAGCATGGCAATGGTGAGATTGGTCATGGAGACGTCATGGAATCCAAACAGTAATCTTTCGGGAGATTGATCAGGGAATAAGTTGACCATGAGAAAACATGTAAGAACAGCTTGTCTGCTGAGTCATGACCGGTGATGTGTATGTGATGGAAGAAAACGTATGTACGACTTAATGCTTGCACCTATACTACTGCTGTGTGCATTATTCGAGTGATCAATTTGAGCATTTGCAGCTCACAACCCTGCAGGTTTGTCTGTCTATATATGCACGTATGCGCAGCTCATTAGTGTTATTTTTTTGTTTGCTACATCTGTTCTTATTCCAGAACATACTGCCATTGATGTCATCCGAAATGTTTCCGCTGTTGTGTGTGGATTCAGTAAAACACCTAACAGTCTAACACTTCATTTTGTTCGAGAGTGCCAGTCATACTAGGAGACGCACAAATACACAATTTCAGGTAAAGCCTGCCATATACACTTCATTCTGTGGATAAAGCCTGCAATATACACTTATCCAGGACAGATTAACTATCACTTAATTTCAGGTTTCCATGTATTCTGCACACTGACAGACAGCGCATAAGTGCACAGAGTAATGCCAAGCATGAAAGCAAAGAACACATCCAAAACCTAAGATATGTATTATAACCTTTTATTATAGCATCTGAATACCAGTAAGCAAGAACACTGGTCTGAACCTACAAACGTCAATCACAGCCAACAATAACTTCAAACTTCAATCAAAACAGATAGGCAATATAATGCATCGCACAATTTGACAGAGCGGAAATGACCTTTGAATCAAGAAGTAGCGACAGCATTCGCGCATTCAGTGTGAGTACACAACTGCTTCTCCTTCTCATGGGCATGCAAACTTGAAAATGCTTCAAATTGCAAGCTCCATATGTATGGACATTGTGTGTGGAGGAGTTGAGGAAGAAGAAGGGTTAGGGACACTGGCACTGTGCTGGCAGTGGATGCTATATAGCAACGACGCTGTTCGTCCGCCGAGCGATCGGGCCGGCCGTCGCCCAAATGGACCGTCAGGTTGGACTGGACCATGAAATTCAGGCAACTTATCTCCCTCTTTATATCTGTACAGAAATGTGTTCTGTTCCAGGTACGAAAAAACTATTTTGGTAAGTTGGATTGACCGGTAGCTACGAACTTGCGGTTTGTGAAAAAATGTTTTATTCAGGAGTAGAATTTTCCCTTCATGCGATCTACTTAAATTCTCGATCAGAACCTAATAATTCAAGAGCTTCACATGAGAAATGTTTTGAAATTTTTCAGAAGAATTTTGGGGCGTTCCTATTTAGCAGTACTGCAGTAGACCACTGCACCGAGATACGTCGTCCGGTAAGGACTTGTTGGATGGGCCGAAATTTCGGCCCATCACGGAGAAGCCTTAAGGAGGTCGCGTATTTCTAAGTTTCCGCTTTCAGTGCCAAGCCCATCTGGACGCTCACCGGAGATGGCCTTCGCCGTCGCGCCGCCGGTAGCGCCGCCTCCACCTTCTCCCGCGGCGGCATGGGGGAGGCGCCGCGCGAGGGCAACTCCTCCGCGGTTCGCGCTGGCGGCATCTACCAGAGACGGCGACCCGGCCCCGCCGACGTTCGAGCGGCTGCGGGAGCAGCTCCTACAGCTCCACGCAGAAGCCGACCTCACCCAATCCAAAGGTATACGCATTCCGGCATCCCGTGGCTGCTATTCAGATCGGCTCTACTGGTTCAGTAGTTGGGGAGTTGTGGAATGATGAATCCTTCGGGGACAGGGGAACTTATCTGTTATATGCTCCAGACTTGTGATAGTACGTTATGATCCATGTCAAGTTAATTTTGATTGGAATTGAGTAGGATCTTGTAGTCAAATGGTGAGATTGTTTGTGTATGTGCATGCGAATTGAGTGGACAGCCACTGTGGTATCTGCTGCACTCAAATTTGTGGTTTGTTCTTGTAGCAAATAGCACGAGGGTAAGGCTTGTGCGGTTGACTGAGGCTGCTGAGAATCTTAAGAAAAGAGCTGCGGTCAGCATCCGAATGGGCAAAGAGAATGAGGCAGTGGATTTACTTGTGCAAAAGAAGAAGCTGACCAAAGCTCTTGAAAGCATAAAACAGCGCATTGAGGTGCTTGATAAGCTTTCCATGAAAATCAGTGAGGTACTGAGGTCATGTCTTTTTTTTTTACTATGTACCATATGCTATTTCTTCTTAGGAAAACGAATATATTATGTAGTTTGTGCCAAAAGCTTATGGTACCTAGCTACTGCCAATTGCCAAAACATTAATCAGCAGTTACATGCTGTACTGTTGATGTGCTAAATTGGCAATTCTGCTGATTGTGTCAAGTACGAAAAGTTACAGATTCTCTTTCTTTATAGAGTTGGTCATTAACAAGAACATATCTGATATCTCACATATACCACTCCTACTAAGGAAGCAAATTTCAAATTTATGTTCATCTATGCATTTGAAATTCTATTATGTAAATGATCCTACTATTTTTCTACTTTGTTGGATTCAGGCAATTTCAGTGAAGCAGAACATGTTAATTGAACATGCATTGCATCCAGGGATGTCTAATGGCAAAGAATCCAATGACAACATAAGAGTTTTCTCTAGTAAAGTTGGTGATGAGGCTGATGAGACTACTAGCTCTCCTGCGAAATCATCTGAAAAGGCATTTGATCTGCAACATGTGGTGCATTCAGGCATGACTGGCCAGTTGGAGCAAAGTGAACTTCAGACGTCCGATAGCTTCTCATTTTCCAGTGATCTTGAATCACCAAACAGCATAACTAACCATTCTTCTTATGATGCTTTTCTAGACCATATTGGTTTTCAGCTGGATTCATTAGAATGTGAAATTGAACAATATATCAGTTCCCAACTAGCAGAACAGGTGGACATTCAGAAGCCAATAAATGCCAAGTGGCAAAAATTGTCTGACGTATTGAAGCTTGTAACTGAAACTAGAGAAAGGTGAGTCGAGGAGGAGGAGGAAGAGAAACACAGCGTATTCAAAGGGCATGATACTTTTTAATTATACAGTTACTGCATGGCTACTACATACTTAAGCTTCATAACCACCCATTATTTCAGGATTGCAAAGATTGTGGATAATACAGTAAAGGAGGCTGGATCTGAGGACTGAGGTCATAGCGAAGTATATAAAGCAATGTATTGATGACATCAAACCCTGTTTCTTTTATTTGTAACATGGTAAGTTGTGTCATTGTTTTGATTTCACTGCACATAGCTTAGATTATCACTATTTTCTTGTATGAGACGATCTTATGATTCTTTAATATCAATTGTTTATTGTCTACCTGCCTCTTTGCTTGTATACCTAAATATCAATACAATCTAGAAACAAATATGCAAGAAATCCTGAAGCTGAAGTTATGATTGAATTCATTCAACCAGCACATGGACTTTTACTTCTAACCAAGAAACAGAGTACTTCGAATAGCGAGGTTATTTAATAGGTTACCCACACATGTGCATGCTTTAGTGTCTGTTTAACAAAGTATAAGACAGCAACTATCACTATGATATCAGGTATTCATATACATTCTGTAAATCATACTTATAATTTTCCAATGATGTCCGCAAGAGTGATCTTTCCACACTTTGCAAGGCCAAGCTGATCAAACTGGTCTGAGATCATTGCAATGTCTTTGTCATCGATCTTTCCTATCTCTTTGAGTTTGTAGATCAGAAAGTCCGATTTGCTGTGGCATAAAAAGAAAAAGACCACAAAGTTAGGACTGGATAACTGCCTTGAATACAAAAGGTCACACTGTAATGCAACATTATAAATTACTTTCAGATTAATACAATAAAGAAAAAAACAAAAGGTAACGAAAGTAAATTTCATGAAGGACCGTGAGGTGTTAATTTTCATGGTGTCACCTACATCACGGGCATGTGACCTTGCCCTAATGCCCTATCTATATGTTTATTTGAGTAACTCAACTCTGTTTCTTTATCAAACATTTTTCAATGTTCAAACAAAACTGTACTCTGGCCCTAGTTTCATCACTAACAAAGAAAAATGTTCTTACATTTTTGGTAATTGAACTCTTGGTATTCTTATTGCAAAACATGAAAACGTACTTGTTAAACAACATATGCAGGTATATGGTTTCATGGAAAATTTGTGCAATACCTTACAGAAGCATCATGGTCTAGGTCTGCAGCCAGTGGCTCATTGTCCATTTTCTTCTGGAGGATCCATTTTGTAGTTTTTCGGTTCCTTCTATCCATCCTTAGATCTGTTAGGAACAGGAAGGCCTTGGCAACTGCCAAAGTGCTCACTAACAAACACACTGTTGCAGAGAGCCTTCCTGCTGGTGTTGAGAAGCCATAATCCCCATATCCAACTGTTGTCACAGAAATGACTGATAAATAGAAGCTATCAATCCAATTTAGACCCTCCACCTCATGCACTATGATTGTACAAATTGAGATGGTGCCTACAACAACCCCTAACGCAAGTAGTACTTTCATCCTCCCTCTTGATCTTTTCTTTTCAGCATCAATCATATAGGTGTCAAATACCCTATTAAGCTTGTTATCATCCATTGTGCTAAGTAAGACTGTTCTCTGCTTGTCAAGTACATTTGTCAACAGCTCATTTAGCACAATGTCAACAAAGCGAACACCGATTAGTAGAAACAAGCATGTGAACACCTTTGTGAAGGTAGTGCAAGGGACTATGTCACCGTATCCTATGGTGCACAAGCTTATGATGGTGAAGTAAAGGCCATCAACTAACTTCAGTGTGGACCTCCCCTTGAAGCCTTCAACATTTGTGATGTATACAAGGACTCCTATTGAGATGTACAAGATGACGCTAACGATAGCCTGCCTTGCAAATGATGGTACGTGTTGTGCAGCATGGCTTTGCTCATTGAACTCATCTGCACAGGGAGTTTCTTTGATTGATGTGAACATAGAAGGAGAAGAATGCACCCGCTGGAAATTTTGTGCGGTAACTATATTGCCATTTCCGCTAGTATGTAACGGATGATTGGGAGTATTGGGGTTACCTTTGCTATTTGTACTTGGGTGAAAGGAAGTCACGAACCTGTTTGGGACATCGGAGGATTTTCTTCTGTCTTGTCTTGAAGAGTATACTTGATCACGGTGGACTACAGGCAGCAGGTGCTCTTCCATGGTAGACATGTTAGATCTTGGATTCATCAGCTCACAGCTTGCAGTTCTCAGGACTGTACTCATCAATTTATATCCATGGCAGTTCTGCTGTGATCTCGGTGATGGAATTGGTAACCACGAGATGGTCGTCAATCAAGGATGTACACTTACCTGCTCTTTCTGGGTTGAAAGGAGTGTATCAAATCTCAAAACATATCTTTCTTATTTATTGCAACATTTATATCACGTAGTTTCCAGTATATTGCATAGTAGCTGATACAAGAGGCAATTGATGAAAGGGAAGGAAAAGACGGGTATATTCTCTCTTTCGATATCTGAAACAGCATTGCTAGATCTATATCCTAATTAAATTAGATTTACTATGCTGTCAACGCTCACCTGAAACTATTCATTTCACATATGCTATCCACATCAGTATGTTGGCTAAAGGATTATCGTCGTAGTTACCTATGTTGTGGCAGGGATAATCTTTCACTGACCCACTATTCGTGCACGTGCACTACTAGGTGTTCCCGAATTAAATCTGATGTTACATTTTATGTTGCAGATATCAAGATTAACAATGGCTTGTTAGCATTCTGATTTTGCAAGTTGGCCTTCCCTTCTCTGGGATGATCCATTGACATAAAGGCAATGCCATATTCTCCAGGACTCTGTTCTACAACAGGGGTTGCCTTTTTCTGGATGGGAACATGTCAGTTTCTTGCGGCTATGAGATCTTATTGCCGGTGAGGGAGGTAAATGCTGCGCCGACGGAAAGGTTCTCAAGCTGGGGATCCCTGTTTCCGTGTCATCTATGTATCTTCGAGCTGTCTTTTTCTGACGGATCTTGACTGGAGTATCTTGTCCCTGATGATCAGTCTCTGCGTGACACTCTGAAGAAAAGGCTGTGCAGATGAAAACTGTAAGACCTTGCCTAGAGGCTAGAATATAACCGAGCACTGGAGTATTTTAGAGAACCGGGCAAGCAAGCATTCTTCAGCCTTCCAGCTTCCTGGCATAAATGTTGATGAATTTGTCGCCATGAATATCTATTAGCCCCTAACAAACTTATCTAGCTTGATCATCTATCTCGTTGATTAAGACACAGTTTCCACCTGGGGACCGTGTGATCGACGGAGTCCTGAAATTTGTTACTGAAGCAGTCAAGCAGAGGATGTAATACTGTGCTGTAACCAGATCTTCACGTTGTTCGCTAGACCGGCAAACCGGCATTACTACATATGGTCTGATTGGAATTTGATCAGTTCGTCTGTTCGTGGCCATGGGTGATGATGGGCCTCGCAGGACTCTTTGGTTTTTATATGGGGACCTAGAGCTTGCCACCAGGCGAAGTCTACACGCCGCTGTTCAGTCTTCAGTGCACCGGAGGTGTGGCGGCTTGGCCCGGCACGGCACGGTGCGAGCTTATACGGTTTTGCTGTTGCAGTGGGCTTAGTATGTTGGGCCTTGTCTCGGCCGGCCGCGCGGTGGGCCTGGCCGCGGAGGGGAAGCAAAGCGACCAGGTTAGGAGTTAGTAGGAGTGTAGGACCAAGAGGCGGGGGACGCCAGACAAAAAAACGAAAGAAGAGCGAGGAGGTGCCCGTGCTCCGGCCGGCGTCAGCTTAGACGTCAGCGTCTCGCCGATGTCAATGCCCTGTAATCCTGCACTGTCACATGTGACTTGTGAGTCGTGTTTGTGTTTGTGTGTGAGAGAGATCCGGATCTGCTGCAAATCTATGGTGTGTGTGATGGCTTCCGTGTTGGATCCGAATCCAAGAGTTCAGGTTTATCTACAGTGTACGTGTAATAACAATTTTTCTTTTCGCAGTTACTAACAATATAAGTTGCAGCTATACTAATAACTGCCGTACATCCTCCTCCCTCGGCGACGCAATTTCTTTGACTCCCCGTACACCTTGGCACGTCTCTTTGGTAGTACGTATCCAAAGGGTATGTCTGGTTAGCTACATGTTAAAATGTTGACAATACTAAAACCTTGGTACTCCCTCCATTTTTATATTATAAGTTTATCAAATTTATAGAAAAATATAGTAATATTTTTAATATAAAACAAATATATTATTAAAATATATTTAATATTAAATTTAATGAAACTAATTTAGTGTTGTAGATGTTGCAAATTTTTTTCTATAAATTTGATCAAACATAAAAAACTTTGAAAAAAAATCAAACAACTTACAATATAAAACGGATGAAGTAAGTGTTAGTAGTGCCATCTTTTTTTAATATATAATTTATATGTGTGTTGTTGGCATATATTGATAGCAAACCAAACACTAGTAAAGTGACTATTTAAAGTACCGTGAATGAGTGTCGACGTTTGATGTCGCAATTCTGGTATTTGCATAGTATGGGGATCGTCGGCGCTAAGATATATGCGAGACTGAGGTAAAAAAGACGGAGATATGGATTTTTATACAGGTTCGGGCCCCTGAATTGTCAGGTAATAACCCTACATCCTGTTGGCCAAAGCCGGTATTGCTCTTATTTATAATAATCACACCAGTACAATATTTGGGGTAGCCTATCTAACTGTTGTCGACATGGCGGTCTGACGATCTGACTCGTAGTCGACAACAGGGTAGCCTTCCTCCTCGAGCTAGCGCCCGACGGAATCAGAGACAGTACTAGATCCCTATGGCCGGCCTCTGAAGGTACCGGATAGGGTCGATCCAGGCGTATCTCTGATATCGATATCCGGCGGTTTGTCTTGGCGTATGTAGGCTTCTTTGTTGTGGCTTCTGGTGGGTGTTGATTGTGTCACGCCCCGAACTAGTACCGACCGGAACTAGCCCGTGACGCTCCAAATTAACTGTTAATCGATACCAGTCCCAGGACACAGTGCTGGTATCACAGGAAGACAGATTACCACAGCACAGAGGTCTCTTTATTAAAGAGTAGAGGTACAGTCATGTTGGGCTGTGGACAGATCCCGAGCTCACAACTGCATTACAAAAGGGAAGCGGAAGCCAGGACTTGGACCAAACAACACAGGCGCGACTTGGGAACTAGGCCGAAACCCTAAAACTCATCGTAGCCGGCTTGCTCCTAGAAGAATTCCTCATCAGCAGGATCCGCTTCATCTTCTTCAGCAACTGGGGGGGAGATTATTTATATAGAGCAAGGGTGAGTACGGGAGTACTCAGCAAGCCATGGGAAATAAGTGTTTAATGCAGGCTTCAAGGAGAGGCTGTTGTTTTTGCAATTGATTTTATTTGAACTCTTTTCTAAAAACGACTAAGTGAGTGCTTCTCAAACGACACGGATGAGACAGTGCGTCTTGTCCGGTCGGAGTATGTGCAATGTATCAGTCTTTAGAATTGAAACAAGGTTGGCACCCGGCCAACAGCTTTTCAAACGGCCACCCGGGCCAACAACTTTCAAACGGCCACCCGGGCCTAGCTGATCCCATCAGCTGCAGATTTTTCAAACATCGAACCCCTTTCCACAACAGTAATTTCACAAGCAGTAGTCAAACAAAACTAAGCTAGGAATCACCTCACATCCGCCCATGACCGTGGGCATGGCTGTTCGAATAGTTTGTTAACCTCTGCAGAGGGGGTACACTTTACCCACACGACATTACTAACCCGGATCACCCAGCCCGTGGGGATCAGCCACGTCGGGAGACCTCCAAGCTTTCATGACAAGGCATTTCGAAAGCCGACACAGGTTTACCATATGCCGACGAGAGGGGTCCCAGACCAACAACAGGTTAGGTCCCAGACCATACTGTGCCAGGAAGCCCAGGGGTCCTCCCCGACACCACCCCGGCGAATCCACATGTCTCTCGGCATCAAGGCTCCCCTGATAAGCTAGTTACTCAGCCAGGGGTGTCCCATTTCACCCATGTGGTCGTACTTGTCTTATGTTTGGATGAAATTCCAAGGAAACGGTCCTTAGGTGCAAGAGCGGGAAACCGTACACCCGGTACGTTCCCCGGTCCGCGGTTTTGGAAATTCATTTAGTTCGCAAGCACCGACCCAGGTGTCGGGTTTTCCAAGTCTTTTGTAAAACCCAAGTTTTACCCAAGTTGTTACTCAGATTTTAAGTTTGAAGGCGTCCGTCGATACTCGCACAGGGTGCACGAATATCGAGACGCAACTAGATAGTTACAAGGGGACATGGTATATCAATCAACAAAGGAAGGATCAAATGCAACAAATTAGGTAGGTCCGCCAATCTGCCTTGCAGACGAGACAACAGATTAAGTGCAATCCTATCAATGCATAATATTTTTCAAGCAACATAATTTAGTTCAAATATAGGCTCAAGATGTTCAAAGGTGGCTTGCCTTGCTCGAGATCTGGAGCTTGATCCTTGAAATCCTCGCACTGCGGGTCTTCGGGCTCCGAAACTACACGCGAAACGGGACAACTCAACAAACGGCGAAAATAAAGCTCTATTAATGACCTCTAAGCGTGCCATTAGATAGATCTCGAGATTTGAGGAATTTTGGAAGTTGAACGGAGTCAAACGGATTTACGATTGGGAAAATATTGAATTTCTAAGATTATTGGATTTTTGGTCTAAAGGAAAAGGATTTAATTAAATCCTTTTTTGAAAAAGAAAAGAAAAGAAAAGAAAAGAGGGAGGGAAAATAGACTTTTCCTCGGGCGGCTAGGGCACGGCCCGAGAGAAACGGAGCGGTTCGGCCGAGCTAAACGGGCCGGCCGGCCCAAGGCGGCCCAAGGCGCGCGCGCGGGAGGGAAGGAGAGAGAGAGCCGGTGGACCGGGCTCACCACGCGTGGTCCCGGTTGGGACCCGCTTGTCGGTGACACGGTTCACCGTGCGGAGCGAGCACGCGGCGCACACGCGCGGGCGGGGAAGGGATGCGGTGCACGCGCGTGGTTCGCGGAGGAACGGATGCGGCGGGCCCACGCGCAGCCTCACGGCTCGCGGTGGAACGCGCGCACGGGAGGGGCTGACCGGGGTCAGCCCGACCCTATCTCGGGCGAGCTGGCGCCGATGTGGCGCCTACGTGGCTGCCACGCGGGCTGGCGGGAGGTAGACGACGACGCCGGCCGGAACGGACGGCGGACGACAGCGACGAGCGGCGGAGTGAACCACGGCGATACAGGCGAGAGCGAGCACACCGGGTGGTTGCTCAGGACGAGGGGAGACGAGCTAACTGCTCGGATTCACCGGAGGGAGTGCGTCGACGGCGGATTGCGGCGGCGGCAACCGGCGGGGAGGGAAGAGGAAAAAGGCGACGAGGTCACGAGGGACCGATTCCCGGCGGCGAGAGCATCTACGCGGCTACGGGAATCCGTTGCTAGCGTCGGATTGGGCGGAGCTACGCCGAGCGAGGCCGGCGACGAGCGGGTGCTACGGAGCACGGGCGGCGACGGCGGCGAGCACATGGCGAGCGGCGACAACGGTCGGGGCGGCGCTGGCTAGCTACGGGGAGGCTACTCGTGCTACTACCCGAGTCTAAGGGGAGGAGATGGAGCGAGGAGGAAGAACAGAGGGAGGCACTACCGAGATGAGGTGGGGCGCTGTGACGAGAGGCCGACGGCGCGGGAGTAATCTCTCCGGCCTCGGGCCGGGGAAGAGGAAGGAGAGGGCGCGCCCGGAGTCCCCTTCCGCGTCCACGAACGCACCAGCTCTCCCGGCGCTTGGCGATGAATGGCGGAGGCGAGACAGAGCTCGGAAGGCGGCGGCAATGGCGCGGACGAGAAACGGGGAGGAATGGGGGGGAAAGAGGAAGGGAGGGCGCCTGGGCTTTAAAGGGTGGCAATGTCGGTTTGGAAACCGACTTTGGGCGGTCAAGGCGCGAGCTGGCGCTCCGGCTAGCGGCCAAATCGGCGACAGGGCGGAGGGAGGATGACGCCGGCGGGAGGAAAAGGGGAAAAGGAGGGAGAGAAAGGGGGCTTGCCCCTTGCCTCTTTGGGAAAAGGAGGAGGGGAGCGGGGGCGACGCGGCAGAGGGAGGAGGGGCTCTGCCTCCGTCCCTTGGCGGCTTGCGCGCGGAGTGGCGGGGCCGAGGCGATGACGACGGCGATGACGGCGGGACGGTTTGGAGCGGAGCGGCGACACGGGCGACAGGCGCGTGCAGAGGCTGACGGCGGCGGCGACCGGGCGGTCGGCCACCACGGCACGCGCGCGCGGGATGCAACGGGAGGCGCGGCGGTTTGAGTGGCGCGGCTCGGGCACGCGCGCTGGCTGCGGGGCCGAGCGGCTGCGCGGCTGCAGGCGGCAGGGCAGCGGGACCGGGTGACGCGGACGGCGCAGACGGCGTGGC